ATATATATATATATATATATATATATACATACATATATACATATATATATACATATATATATATATATATATACATATACACACATATCCCCCTCTCTCTCTCCCACTCCCCCTTTCTTTATAATTTGCATGCATATAATGCTTGTGTACTTCGTTTTGTATTTAAATGTGTCGGTCTTCAACATTTTGAATGTAAAAACGAAAATATTATTTGATCTGTTGATCTCTTTCCTAAATAAACATAATAGTACGATAACGCACATATGACAAATTAAGATTATAAACAATAGTAAAACGTAAAAGTAAGTTACTTGACAGCTTCACGGGAGCCGGTTAGCGTGCAAGTACGCTCTGGCAGACCCCCACTTTCAGCAGCCATTTGTATTTTACATCCTGTTTCACTTTGCAATCTGGTTATTTGTTCTCCTCCTCTGCCAATTACTGTAAAAAATATTGTGATGGAAGTTAATTATAATCTATAATTTTTAAAGTATCACACAATTCTTGAGGTTATATTTATTGTTTCTCCTTAATAAATTGCCAAAGATAAATATAATATTTTATCCTCAAGTATAGTGTAGTCCTTTAAGGTGAGTTACTACTAAATACAACTATTTGTTCCATAATCCAATGATATGAAAAATATTAATATTTAAAATAACATTCAAATTAAAAGACTTATAATCTAAAAAAAATTTATTTAAAACTATATTTTTTAGAATTTTTAAATTAATCATTTGTATTCTAATATTCAAATACCATATTAAATACATAATTAAAAAAAATATAAGCTACATATGAGTTAAAAAGCAAACTTTCCGGTTTCTAAAATATACTATCAGAAATTATAAAAAATTTGGTTTATATTACATAATTTATTAATTTTTCATTATAGTTATATCTCTTATTTTTAAATTATACACAAATTTGATATAAAATAAATGAAAAAATTTATGGTAAAAAGAAGATTTGATACTTTTTGATTACAGAACATTGCAAATTTATTTTAATTTAGCCTATTTAATTTATATTTAAATGAAACTATGCAAGATTCTTTAAAATTATAAGAAATTACTAAACATAAATGAAATAAAAGATTTTTGCTTTATATCGAAAAATGATTACATAGAATAAATTGTTATTTAGAAATTTAAAATTGCAAATACTTTTATAATCCAAATAAAATTATTAGTCAAAATATTACAGTATCAATAATATATATTAATAAAAAAATGTCAACAATAAATAAAAAATAATTCATCAATATTAGTAAAATAATTCTAAAAAATACATTATCAAGTAATTCAATAAAAATAAACAAAGAATTTGAGTTTAGTAGTTACTAACCTTAAATATTTTAAGTACATATCACATTTCATATTACATTCTAGAAGTTTTCGATAAATACAAACTATATATTTTATATTTTTAAATTAATTTTGCATTTGATATGTATTTCATAAATAAATGCATACGTTAAAAGTAATCTTGACTTACTCAATCCAACCATTTTGTCAGGAACTCTGATATCTTCATTGCAAATACCTCCCAAAGCAACTGGATTAGGAGTTGTGGGTCCAGAAGGCCTTGAAATAGGACTGTCATTAATGTTTGTTGGAATACCAGGAGTTGTATTCCCACGTAGATTAATCAATGGATCAGTTATTATAGGTGTAAGCTTCTTTGGTTCAGGTTCTAGAATTCAATAGAATAGGGGCATGCCAGGCATTGGGCGAATTTTCAAACAATTGCATTGTTTTTTAAAGTAGAAAAATTATGCATGAAACATATAAATTTTGTAGTAAATGCAAATTACATCAACATATTATAAGTAATTTTGTAACAATATAAACATTTAAATAAATAATAATTTTATATATATATTAATTAAGAATAAATAAAAAATATATAGTATATATTTATTAACTATCCTAAAAAATGAAATATATTGTGATAGATATATAAATTTTTGGATGAAGTTTTTAAATATAAGCTTAAATTATAATTAATCAAATATTTCTTATAGTAAACAATTTTTACCTGGACAATCTTCTAGTGGACGTTTCTTTTGGGGATCTTGATTATTTGTCACACCTTGAGGATTTATCTTAGCTGCAATCTGGAAATAAGATTTAAAGTGGCATAATGTTTTAACGAGAGAATTCTCGTTTTATCTTGTAGGGCCTATTATTACATAAATTGCTGTTACATAGTTTTTGGTTTAAGAATTAATTTATTATTTAATAACAAATTAATTTGAATATAGGTTAAACATATGCATATATACATACATACGTGTACTCATAAATATAAATATATTAAAATGTATACTAATATAACTAATATTAACCAAATTATTTTATGATTTAATAAGAATCAAATTCTTATAAGAAATAATTTATTTTAAGGAAATTAAAATATATCAAAGTACAAGATATGACCATTTTTATATAATATAATAAAATTAAAAAGAATGTTATTATGTATAAATATTTCATATACATTTTCTCCATTTTCTGATTCCTATAAAATCTAATAATTATAAATGAATTTTATAATTTATATAACTCTATATAACTTAATATATATAACTTTCATTGTATTTGTTACAATATGTTTAATAAACAATATTATAACTCTACATTATACAAAGGTATATTACATCAAATGTATAAGTTTTCGTTAACGAAAAATTTTTTTCATATTATTTTAGAGTACTAAATATTTTGAATTTACCAAATTTAATAAATATATTTGTGCTTTAAAATTCTTAATGGCTCTTCATTATATTAATATCCTATATAAACTATTTTTTTAATTCAAAATAAACAATAAAATGATAAAACAGTCAACTATTAAAAAATGTTGTTTAATAAAAAATTATTATTTAATTAATCTTAATAATCAATATTTTTAAAATCATAGTGCATGGAACATAAATATCACCAGTATATTATTTAATTATAAAATATTCGTTATAATTGTAGCACAGTTTTTAAAATCTATTAACATTGACTTGACTTCAACATTATATAAATTAGTGTTTAAAAGATTAAATTAAAAACTTTTTCATTTTTACAATAAGATTGAATTTTAATATCTAGTATTTAAAATTTGAAAGGTCTTAATTACGTATAATTAGGCATATAATATATCACTATTTATATGCATTAATATTTACACACATAAATTTTTTATTTTAGATGTAATGATATTGCTATAGTATAAAATAAACAGTAATTTAAATGAAAAATATACAAAAGTAAATGTTATAATTTAATGTTTAATTGGGATATTAAAAGTATGGAAATTTAAAAATCGTCTTCATGAATACATATTATGAATAAATTATTTATAAAGTATAAATATTAAATATTGAATTGTATTGAATTTGGGATTTCTATTATTAACTTTTTAAATAAAATTCATTTAATACAGAACACATTAATTGAAAATAAAATGAAAAACTTCAAATTTATAAAAATTAGAAATCGGTTTTTTATCAAGAGATTGAAAGCACAATATGGAAAGTTATTAATTTATATTTTGTGAAATAAAACATAGGACACTTTTGATGAAAGCCTTATAATTATTATTGACTTTTAGATATATTTATATATCCATGTATGTTGAATTTCGAATATAAGGGATATGCAGATATAATATGTATATATACCCATGTATATATATATATACGTACATCAGCACAACACGCACGCATCTTTGCACACAACCTACTCACACAAATACTAATGTGTGTATATATATATATATATATATATATATATACATATATATATAACATTAAATGAAAAAATATTTTTAATTTGTATACTAAGGAATTTGCTTTTATAAAATACAAGGTTGGTTAATATCAAATTATTGAAATACTAATAATTATTAACTACTTGTTATATAAAACATTTAAAAACACAGTATAAGAATCTATTATACCATAGTTACAATTAATACAAGGCTGCTCATTAAGTGAATATATACACTTTTATATCACATTCGTTAAGTGTAATAAAGTAAAATACGAATTTAAACATATTGTTAAAATTTGTGATTGAAAGTGTTCAAAATTATATAAAAGTAGAGAAATATTGAGGATGATAAAAACCTTCATTTGGAGATCCGGTATGGAGTTGGTGTCGATGAAAGAAAAAGACAGAAAGGCACACCACAAAAATTGAGGCGTCTCGGTACAAACGAGCGAGGGGAATGAGCAGCGAGAACGAGAGAGACAGAGAGTGATTGACGAGTCGGCCATTCTATTTCTCCTCTTCCCGGCATCGCGTCGCGTCGGTGTCGTACGCGCGATAATTTCTTTCTCGCTCTCTCCCGCCCTTTACTCATGTAACTCTCGCTCACTCTCTCTCTCTCTCTCTCTCATTCGTTCTCGTCCTCTCATTCTCTCTCGATCTTTCTTCCCTATAGGGTGGACATTTTGATTGTGGAAAATTTGAGCCCCGGCCCCGCGAATGAAATACCTGCTTGGCCCGCTGAAGCGCGGCCGCAAATGCCGAACTCTGGGAAAAGTCTTGCGGCGGTGCCACGGCCGAATAGTCGCTCATCATGCTCGCGTGGTCCTCGTCTATCTGCTGCTGCTGTTGCTGTTGGGATGGTGGCGGCGGTTTGCTGTTGCCGCTGCCGCTGCTCTGACTTCTACCGTCGCGGTCACGGCCTGATGACGACGACGAGGATTTGGAGGAACGCCGATAATCCCGTTCGCTGCGATACTCGTCGTCCTCGCGCTCACGATCTCGCGGAGAGCCGCGTCTCTTTTTTTTCCCCGCCGTGGTTAGGTCGTTAGATCGACGGGTTTTTCACAAAAGCTGTACGCGCACACCACCGTTAGTGGGCTGCACGTAATAGAATAGCGACAAGAAAACGGAGATACGTGCGACGAGGAATAAAGCAGAGCGGGCCACTATGTAGTCACAGGCATGCGCTGACGCGAGTACATGAGATGACGCGTATATGCATGAAGTCATGAACTAGTGTTACCGCCAGCTCTGCCTGCCTGTCTGCCTATGTATGTAGGAGTTGCCGGAGCGGGCACGCACATGCGAAGAAGGGGCATAGCATGCTCCTGAAAATGGAAGCCGCGACCTATGGCGTTGGTCACGCTATTAACCCCTCCACAATCATATTATTTTTCTGTATTCAACGTCTCACTTTTCAATGTGGCGTTCCCTATATAATTAATAGCTCTTTTTACCTACTGTTTCCTCTCTTACTTATGAATCATTTGATTTAAATTATTAATTAACTGCTTTTGTGGTTTAGCTTATGAGGTTACCTGTATTCTCATTATTATGATTATGCTTTTTTTTTCTTTATATTTATCAGCATGACGCGGGAAAATTAGAAATACAAAGGTTTCTAAGGGACAGTGAATTAAAATAATAATAATTTTATTTTCATATATTTGCAAATTGTATGACAAACTAATAACATTTCCTAAAAGTAACAGCTCAGTTACATTGGAATGGTTCAACAATTTGTGAACAACTATTCATTTTACTAGATAATTCAACATGGTTCCTATGGGCTCGAAAATTATTTTAACGAAGCTTAAAACTGATTAATAGAATAAATGATAAATTAATACAAGTAAATAATTTTATTTTATACAATTGAACTTGAAAATTATTATTACATTGTAGTTTTTGCCGTTCCTTAAAATTAATGTGTAATATATTATTTAAGATAATAAATAAGTTAGAAGAAAAATAAATGTTCCATAAAAACAAATATCAAAACTGTGCATTATAATTATGAATAAAATCTAATTTAATAAATAAATAATGATATTATAAGTACATTAAATAATAAATAATAAAAATGAAATATTTATAAGTATTGTATTCGATAGTTTAATTATTTTAATAGTTTAGATATTTATTTAAGCGTAAATTAGGAAAAATTTTTTTTGTAATTTTTAGAAAAATATTTGGAAAAAATAACTTTTTATTTAAATAGAGCGCCATAATATATGTCAAATCATTAAATGTTATTATTGGTTATTTTTATGAAAACTGTATCGAAAAACTTATGTAATCGGTTCCAAAATTCCAATAGGACTCCTGCATTGACATTCTCATAATGTGGAAAAATTTAGTTCTATTATCAGGTGATATTAATGAGTGTTATAATTTATAAACTGTATTCTAACATTATGTGTAAAAGTTAGAAAATCTTATAAGTTTTATACTTTATTATTGATGATAGAGTTAAATTTAAGATAAATAATAATTTATAAATATATTGAACAAGTTTTCATAATAAAAATAGCTATAAATTGTTGTTTTAACTATAATTAAATTTATAAATATTTTTAGTCATTTGCAATGCAGTCATGTATAGACGTTAATTTATCTAATTCTCAATTAAAGAATCTTGCGCAGATGGCAAAAGACTGGATTATTATGCATGGTATTTATTAATATCAATAAATAAATTATATAATTATAATTATACCATTCATTTATATAAATTATATTTTAGGAGCTGGAATGAGATCAAAAAATAATTTTAATGAAGATCAAATACAAATTGTTCCATTTTTATTATTACCTTCATGTTACCCAAGAAAAGAATTTGAATCAGCAAAAGAAGTACAAATACTTCTAAACGAACTTATGCATAATGTTGCTCATGATTATGATTTTTTGACAAATACTTTAAAAAAGTAAATATATTTTTATTGAATCATGATTAAATATATAGTTAAATTCTAAACAAAGATTCATATTTTAGTACAATTGAAGTGGATACTTTTACTTCAAAACTTTTTAATATTTATCAATTAGTTCATTCAGAAGGTTTTATTCAGGTAATGATGCTTATAAATAAATTACATTCAGTTATATAATTAACAAATTATATTAATAATTTATATGACAGCCTATTAGTCTTGGTCTGATAAGATCAGATTATTTGTTGCATAAAGACATAGGAAATAAAATTAAGCAAGTGGAAGTAAATATGATTGCATCTAGTTTTGGAGGCTTAGCACCAATTATTTCTGAATATCATAAGTAAAATTAAATTAATTAATTCAATTTAATATTTTTGTTTTATCAGTTTTTATAATTAAAAATGAATTTATATTAATATTTTATAGATTCATTTTAACTGAATTAGGTTACAAAGATAAAGTCAAGAACGTAAGTAATTTATTGGTTATAATTACATTCTTATGTTGAATTATATTGAATTCAATAATTATTTTTTTTATATTTAACATGTAAAAATTCTATTGTTATGAAAAACATTTAATTTCACAGATTCCAGAAAATAACGCCACTCTTGGACTGTCTAATGGTTTGATTGAAGCATGGAAAATGTACAATAATAAAAAGTAATTATCTTTTTAGAGTCAATAAAAGGAGCATACAATAGTTAGATATACTTTTGTTATTTTCAGAGCTATAATACTATTTATTGTCGAAGATATTACTTATAATATCTTGGATCAAAGAGCAATAGAATTTAAAATTTATGATTTAAATTCAGAAATTAAGATCATTAGAAGAAGTTTAACAGAATTAATTATGCAAGCTCGATTAGGGTCAGATAAGGAATTATTTGTGTAATCAATAAATATTCTAATATAAATATTGTACTATTACAGTACAAGTTTTCAGTAATAAATATCTATGTATACAAATTTTAGTGATGATATTGAAGTTGCAGTAATTTATTATCGTTCTGGATATCAATTAGAAGCTTATCCTTCAGAGAATGAATGGAATGTACGATTACTTTTAGAACGTTCCCGTGCCATTAAATGTCCATCTATACAGTATCATCTAGCTGGAACTAAAAAGGTTTTGATAGTTATATAACATTGAATTTTTTTAAATAAACAGAAACTGTCTATATAAATAATATATTTATTTACATTGCATTTAGAAATATAGGACACATTGAATTATTAAAAATTGCATACATAAAATTATTTTGATCATATTCAAGAATTATTATATTTGGTAGTGTATTTAAAAATATTTATTTATGATAAAAAATAAATATGTTAGATAAATAAAATAAAATCAATTTTACATTCAAAATAAAATTATTAAATATTAATTTAATAAATGATTTTGTTATATCTTTTCTACTAGATACAGCAAGAATTATCTATTCCTGGAGTATTGGAAAAGTTTATTTCTGATTCTAATAAAATAATTAAAATTAGGCAAATATTTATGGGTATTTATGCTTTAGATTTTGTAAGTGTGCATTAGAAAATTTATGGTTTTGTTTAAAATTTTTTAAAAATAAAATAATTTTTAGAATGAAGATGGTGAAAAAGCTATTGCAATGGGACTCAAGAATTCACATAATTATGTTTTAAAACCTCAACGTGAAGGCGGTGGCAATAATATTTATAATGATAAAATAAAAGATCAATTAGAAGTTATGAAACATTCAAAGGATCGAACAGCTTGGATACTTATGGAACGAATTTATCCTCCCATTCTAAAGAATTACTTAATTCATACTGGGAATAATGATTTGAAAATACAAGAATTTAATTCAGAACTTGGAGTTTATGGTGTTGTTATGGGGTAACTAAATAAAATGTTAAAATTAAAAATATTTTATTTATTATTGATTAGAAATTTTATAGTATAAAAATATATAAATAATAATTCAAAACATTCTTATTTTAAACACTGATCAGTATGGTTTACCGCAATAGTTACTTTATTATATAAAATTATTGTAATGAATTTAATTACAAAGAAAACTATATTTTTCAGTTATAAAAGTAGAATTATTCATAACACTCAAGTTGGACATATTTTACGTACAAAACTCTCATCTGCTAATGAAGGTGGTATCATTTTTGGATTTGGTGCTCTTGATAGTCCATATATTGTTAATTAAATTATAAATAATGAAATATTCATTCTACCATTTCTTTGTTAATATAACTAAATAAATAAATATATAAATATAGTATAAATCGTTTCTTCATTGATTAGCCTTCATCATTCACTTTTTATAAATTTATTTAGATTTATTTACAGTTAAAAGAACCAAATAGAACTTATAATTAATTTTATATAAACGAATATTTATGCTATATAATGATAACAATATCATAATATAATTCAATATTTTTATATTTGAAAATAAATTCAATAAATTGCTTTCTTGAGGATTTAATTTTGTTTTATCTTTACAGAGTTAACAATTTCTCTAAATAAATATATTTACAAATGTAGAATAAAAATTCTAATTTAAATATTAAAGACGTTTAAAAAATTGAATTTTAACTATATAATCATTTAATTACAATATAATAAATAATAATAAAAATATTTTCAAATGTAGGGCTGGTGTTAACTTTTTAAGTATTTATTATGTAAGATATTAATAAAAGGTGTCTGGATAATAATTTTTTATAATATATATTAATTTTGAAATGAATACTTTGTATTTTTTATATAATAATAATTATTCTTATATTATTATATAAATAATAAATAACTACATTTAAATAATTAATCAAAATATTCATATATAAAACTTCAAATAAAATCTACCGAACTTCTATTTTACAAAGCTTATTAAACATTTTTATATTTAAGATTGTTCAGATTTTTAGAACCTTTTATTTCTTTTAAGTATAATAATTTTTAATACTATATTAATAGAACTCAAAATAATAGTATGTTTATGTATACTTTTTATAAATTATTTACAAAAATTAAAATATAAAAATTACCTTGATTTAGTGTAACTCTGTGTGCGTGTGTGTGTGTGTGTGCGTGTGTGTGTTTGAGTGTGTATCACGTGTTCGCGCGCGCTCGTGTATCATTTTAGTCTTAAATTACTTCTTTAAGTTGTGGAAAAATTTTTTATTTTAATGAATTTATAAAAAAAAATAAGCAAGAATACAATTATGCATAGGAAAGTAACACGGTACTAAAATATCAAACATATATTATTTAGAATTATATTTTAAAATATAATTTTTACGGGATTCTATATTACTGAATCTAATGCAATTGCAGTTTATATAAAGAACAATATATTATCTTTTTTTTTTTTTAATTGCATCTAAGTATTCTGTCTTCATATTTTTTTTCTCTTTAATATCAAGTATTTTATTTTATCGAAGAATAATTTGAATTTCATTTGAAACATTCATTGTTCTAAATAACCTTCTTTTTTTCTTAAAAAAAAAAATGTTTTATAACTTTAAATTTAATTTTATCAAACAAGAAATCAATAATTTCAAGTATAGTTCTTGGATGTAGCTATTTAAATTAAATAAAGTCAATTTAAAATTTGAAATATTTTATGAAACGCGCAATGCATAATTCTCATCTCTCGTCAAAGAAAGAGCAGCTAAAACATAAGAGTTAACAATATTTATAAATTATTATTTTCATAAATAATTGAATAATTAGCAATAATTTCTGATAATAAAGTATATTATTTAACTGTCTAATCAACATTGAACGTAATAGAAAAAATGTAAACATGTTTTTATTATGTTAGAAATATTCCGTATTTAAATTTAATACTGTACTACATGAGTCGTTACTTCCAATAAATGTACATAATTTAAAAATCCTTCTAATTTAAACAAACATTACTTATATAACTATAATTACTATTGTAGAATTAATAAAATTTAATAATTATTAATAACTACAATTATAAATTAGTGAAATACGTATTTGATTGTTTCAAGATTGTCATTTGTCTCTTGCTTTGCTTATGAAAACAGGTTCGATATGATTTTCATCTGTTTTATATGTAGTCAACTTGATTATAAAAAAAGGTTATAAATTAACAATTTACTGATTACATTATTTATGCATTTATCAATATTTTAATAACATTATAAAACTGCTGAATGAGCCAATATTAATTAAAATTTTCATTTTTGGATGCAGGGTGAATCCTGAAGAAACAAAAACTCTTGACTAAATGAATTACGTACGGTAAATGTGAAAATTTCACAAAAAAAATTTTTTTTTCACAAAAACTATTAAAATTTAATAATAATAACATTTTACTAATTTTTAAAGAACTTTTTAAATTTTTATGAAATATGAAAAATTTGTTAAGAACTAGACTGTTTTAACAATTTAAATATGTATTATCTTATTGTGTAATTCCACCATTTTTATTTTATTGGGTAATTTACCATAGATAGATGATATATGTTTAAAGAGTGTAGAAAATACATTATTTAGAGTTCATGCAATTTGCGGACTAGTGGGTATCAATAAAGTAATTACAAGAATCTTGTTACAAATGTATAAAGAATCAATTCGTGATAAACAGACGACTCTATAACACATTATGTACATAGTACAAATGAACAATCATTTTAAAGCAAGTAGGTTAATAGTTAGAAGTAAAATTAAATACTGTAAGACTGAAATGAAATTTTTTCTACCATTTCATTAAGTATTAAAGTATAAATATTTTAAAAGAACATATATATTCAGATCTCTATTGATATCGTTTAAATAAGAAGTGAACTATACTACCAAGTATTGTATTTATAAAACTGGAATAAATATCCTGATATATAAGAAATATATCATATAATTATTTTTAATAATATGACGATTCACATGTAATAAACATCTTACACATTCATTATATCCATGTGCTTTAAATAAATAGCTAATAATATCATAAATAAATTTAATATTAAATATCTGTGAAAAATATCAATATTTCCCTTTACAAAATAATATTTAATTTTATTTCCTTTCAAAAATACATTATATGCTCAAATTAATTATTAAATTAAATTGAGTACAAAAATTGAATCAAATAAATATATTTTGAAGATCTGAATTTTGAATTTAATAAAAATCAATCAATAAAATATGATTTAATAAAAATGAATCTATTACAGTAAAAAAAGATTTAACTGATATTGTGTAAAGTTGTTATATTTTGCAATAAGATTATCTATCTTAAAATATATACGATATTGCAACAGGATAAGTATATATTCTGTTAAATATGTCGGAATCGTACAATTCCAATGAAAATAATGTACGTGCATACTTAATAATGGGTGTAAAAATGGAAAAAATATTTTTTCAATTGTATGCATTTAATTGTTTTAAAAGCTTGATGTTAATTACTTTTTATTAAAATTTGTAAAGTTAATATTTCCAAGGAAAATCTGTCTTTGTGGAAAAATTTTTTAAAATATGTTTAGACGTTTATCAAATACTATCTGTTTTTAAAGATTTTTATATAACAAAGTATTCGTTCGAATAAAACGAATATGTAAATTACTATAAGTGAATAACTACGTATCTATGGAACATGTGGATTATTAATAGGGAATTTAAATTGATTGAAAAATTAAAAATATGTCGCTTACATAAGATCTATATTATCATTTTTAAACTAGATTATTTTTATTTATTTCCTTCCAGATCTACAATCATATTATTGCAAAATTATTTATGTATAAATAATGGTTACTCTTGAAAATATAAATTTTATAAAATTTAGAATTAGATAATTAATATTGATTTTCAGAATAAATTAACGATTGCAAATATGTTGTAAAAAATCTATTAAATTTTTTCATGTTAATATTTTTTATTGCGAAACTCAGGTTGTAAGTATTTTGTTTGTCTTAAACATAATGATACTTTACTTGAATTACATTAATTTACACATTATAATAAGTATTAAAACTTACTAAAATTAAAAAACATGTTTAAAAATTATTATTGGGAATTACAATTCTGTATAACAAAATATTATTTAAAATAATAATCATTTTAATTCGTGTTTATTGTACATTATAATTAATGATACAGAATTGAAGTTAGTTCAAATAGATTAATAATTTTTTTTGTTCATCAAATATTATTATATGAAAGATTGAAAATTAAACTATAAATAATTTCGACAAGGTAATATAAATTTGTTATAATTCATTCGCTTCGAAATATTTCAGAAATGTAAGTAGTTTTAAATGAAATTACGTGAAATATTCATATGCTGATAAGGCGAAAAAAGTTGTACAACTGATTTAAAGATTTATTTTGAGATGAGTAATTTCGCTTTAAACATTTTGTCTTCCGAATCTGTGCCTAATATTGTAAATTTTTCATGTCTCTATAATTATATAGATTTTTGTTACAATTTCAGCTACTATTATTACTTTTGATCTATTTTTATTTCGCGATTACACATTACTTTAGTTTATAATGATTGCATTCATTGTTAATATTACTTTTATTAATAATCGCGAATTAATCGCAGTTCAACTATTTTAAAATTAATTTTTTTCGTTATTTGTTCTCTGAACCTTATTTAAGTAACAGGACTATAATAAATATATTTATCATATCATGAATAAGATTCGATAAAAATTATATTTGTACTTATACGTATTTTTTCTTCTCACCCTTATTTTAATCAGTTATTATTCATATTAAAGGTAGCCATTAGTATCCAAGCAAACAAAATGAAATCTATTTAATACTATTCACTTTTTTCTTTGGGCAATGAAATCAAATAAGAGAATTAATTTTTAATATTACTGTAATATAAACTGAGCATTGAATTTATTATTTTATTATTATTATTAAACAAAAAGTTTCATATAATCATATAATATCATATAATATTCAAACTTCTCAAACAGTTTTTTGTTCGTGAATTGTGTTCCTTTATTTATAATGCTCATGATCAAGTTACGAAATTTTATAAATTTAAAATTTCTCAGATCGATTCTTAATATGTAAATATTTAAAATTTGGATCTTACCGATGAAACTAAACAAATCATGAATTTTCCAAATTTCCCAAAAAATAATTATGACGTTGAAAATGTAATAAAATATAAAAATATTTATCTAATTATTTTTATTTTAAATAATTTAAACTGAAGTAAATTTGCACTTAATGTGTAATATTTTAACGTCGACATCAAGATTTCCTTCGAAAATAAGAATCGGTATAAAATATTGATAACATCACGTGAGAAATCATAATTGATTTAATATAAAATATCATATATAATATTTCATTTCACTCGGAGATTAGTATTGATAAAATTCACTTTAAGTGATAGTGCTTGCATAATATAAATGTCATAGATCTATAATTTAATTATCATGACAATAAAGAAATTTAATTCTGCATTAATATTTTATCGTACATTTTTTTTCATTACTACCCGTATGAAAAAAAAATGTTTATAACCTTAAAAGTTCATTAAATTTATAGATTAAATACTTGTATTGATAAGTTTTCTGTATAATATAGAAAAAAATTAATGTAACATAGACCATATAAGTCATTTTAATAGTTTAATATTATTAATATTTATTATTAATATATAAAATATTGTCAATATTTAATTATCTTAATTACTTGTTATTAATTTATTAAATAGGATAAATAAATAAATATTTTTGTATACATACTAGAAATATATATTTTTAAATGATTATTATTACAAGTATTTATTAGATATTACAAATATTTTTTTTTGTTCGTTGATATTATTGAGACTTTCAGATATATTTTAATTAATCAAAAATAATTAGTTTTTCAGATCACTTGAAATTATTAAAATATATTGATATTTTCTTTTTAAATGCAACAATATAATATGAATAAAATTATTTGTATCTTTATTGTAAAAAATAACATTTATGAGTAATAAAATGTAAAAATAACGCAATGAAGTAATGATATTCATTATTCAATTTTTGGTGAAGATTGACAAAAAACTTATACAATAATTATAATTTTTATTTTACTCATAAAAATGAATATATGTTATTTAATAAGAATAACAAAATTTATACAGATGTATTCGCCCTGTAGAAAAGAAAAACAATTAGATGTCATAGAAGGGAGATATATTTATGATAATAATGTAAGCGAATTTAAATAATTTTGGAGAGTTTTTAATCAATTTTGAGCATTTTATTTGATTAAATAATTGTAGTTTCAAAAGAATATACATTTTGCTATTTATCCACATCACTCAAGATAATTATTGCCAGTTTTTTCGCCTGGAAAATGTCAAATTTATTTAATATAATTAATGTGAATAAGATGTATTTGTTTGTTTACCCTTGTTGTCATTATATTATTTGATTAAATTTTTATTGTATCAACTTTAATTAATTTTTGCTATTACCAATCAATTTTCCTAATTGTGGAGAAAAAAATTTTAATCGAAATTAGTTCGATAAATATCAAGATCAAGAACATTCGAACTGGTGGATAAAGCAATCAACACGATTCTGGCATTAAATTGCAATATATTCAAAATAATTATCTGAATAAAGGAAAATTACGATTTTCTAAAATTAAAATATTGTAACAAATTACTTGCTTCCTCCTTCATGCAGATGGCCCGCGGGGCTATGCGAAAATATAAATGAATTATTATGTGAGGATTTAATAAGCGTTATCCTAAAAACTTTACCAATTATTTTAAAAATAAAAATCACTCCACCCCAGCCTACTTCACAACGATTTCTTCAGCTCCTTACGTTCGTGTTACTCTTATAACAATTACTATGGAATTGAAGCAATATAATTGAAATATATCTTTCCCAAGTCCTGAAGTTAAAGCACCAGCGTTATTCACGACATTTTTATGTCTACTTCCGCTAATGGTATGTCCATTTTTGTACCGCTACTGCCAGAATTTCGCCTCCCTGCGTTCTCAATTGCAGCTTCCATAGTTTTTCTCGTACCTTTTTCATTTTCTTTTATTCATTAATAGCCTTAAAATACAAAACAACAACATATTGACCTATATAAAATTAAATCAAACGATAAATATCGAGCCTTTTTCATACAATCTTTTTTAAAGCCACAGTAATAGAGCCTAAGTTTCTCCGCTTACATTTATGGAGCACGCAGGATTTGAATAATTTATTGTAATTTTTAAGCTTTAGTGGTTAATACACTAAATCTTTCCCTTTATTCTTACATATTGTTTTTTTCTCTTTTTATTTCTGCAAACAGCAATATATATGATCCAATAATGTCATGCACACAAAGACATCCGATATAATCAGATATAACCAGGAGAATTCCGTACAAACATTGTATAACGATAGTATATTTACTTTTAAGTAACATAATATAAGCCATTGAGAGAGGGTGTGCATAATAGTTATATTAATTTTTTTAATAAAAATAATATTACAATGTCAATTTATAATTAGGATTTTGTTTTAATGAGTATTTTTCATACTCGTATAACTTAAAAATTTATGTTATAATATTTAATTAAAATTCTTATAAAAATGAAACATTTTAAATTATCATTATAATAAAACAATTTTAATGAATTATGCTTCATTTGGTTATGATTTATATATATTTAAATTAATATTTAAGCATTAAATAATAATTATTAAAATTTGGCATTGAAAAAATTTTCGAAACATTAATATAGTTTTATAGTTACATATTTAGCTTATCTAAGTATAAATACAATTTTCAATTTTTCTTAATGTATATAAATAGCAAATAGTTATTTTAAAATAAATAAACGATGTGATAAATTTAATAATTAAAAATAATAAATGTTTTTCATTATATTTGCTATTGTATACTTATATTTAAAGAGTTATATTTCTATTTTTAAAATGAATTATATTCAAAAATATTTCATTAACTTAAATAATAATTACAATATTTTTATGTATATCAATTAAATATTCTAATGTCACACAAATAAACTTATATATCCTTTATTAAATAATTTTTGTCTCTTATTAAAATTACAATCATTGCACTTAAGATTGATCTCTAATTTTTTTTAATATGTAGTACAAAATGAAAAATTATAATTTTGCTGTTTGTATATTGTAATGACTATAAATACAACAGTGCATTTTAACCGTAGGTACGAAATATTATTTAAAGAGTGATTATCTTTAATATGATATAATGAATTTAGAGAAAGATTAAAACAGTCGATTACTATTTGCAGTTCAAAAAGTTATGACTTGTCTTTATCTGTATATTGATATGCAGTCAACAAAGCAGCTCATAATAGTATCGAATACTGCGCAAAATAGATTGCTCTGCATTAAGTGACTAATACTAGAGTGTATTAATAGTTCATAGAATACATATCTTAAAAACCTTTATTTTATAACATGGTTTTTATACCATGGATACCAAGGTTTGTGTACTTAATAATTGTCGTCCGACTTAATACACGTTTTCTTACAAATAATATTATATATTAAAATTGATATTTATTGCATATACTTATAGATTAATTCATTTTTAAATTCAAAATTTTTTAAACACATAATTTTTAAACACAAAATTATCTTAAAAGTTTTTAACAACTTAAAAGTGAATACGCAAATAATAAAAATATATAATTGGAACTTTTAAAATAATAATAAATAATATGAGAACGTTATAAGAAGGATTTTCAAACACATCATTTCAAATTTAATGTAGAAATAAATTATGATATAGTTCAAAAACAAAAATATTGAAAATGTTCTAAAATATTTATCAAAGTTAAAAATTTGATATTTTAAATGTAATACATTTTATACAAAAAATAGGATTTTTATCGAAAATTCTATTCCGATTTATATATAAATTGTAATTTAAGTGAATTAGACCTATTCGCTGAAGACTAAAACAAAAATTTTTTTGTAAGATGCACCATCGTATTTTTTATTTTCTTTCAAAAATAAAAAAAAAACAAATATAAATGTGCGCAAAAAGTTTTTAACTTGATTACTATATATATAAAATAACTTTTATACTTAATAATAAATATATATTGTTAATTGTATATCAATAAATTACTTTAACTGATTGATATTTTGTGATATTAATAATTTTATAACCAATTAATACTCTGTTTTTAAAATAATATATTTTCATTACATTAAGCTTGAATAAATTCACTAAATACAAGTAATTACTTGCAAATAGATACTAGATTTTTCTAGATTACTCATAAAACATAAATTAATTAATTTAAAACATTTATTATATTTTTAGATGGATCATTATGTTATATAAGTCATTTAGATGTTTTTATATTTTTCAAAGTTTTATGATTTTTTTTCTTTCATAAAATTTACGAATGAATAAAAATAGATGGTAAGAGGTATTAGGAAACTGTTAAATTGATTCTGATAATTAAGCATCAATAATCAGAATACCATTTTTAATTTATTTTTTCTTGTATAAAAAAATATAATTCATACAGTAGAATATTCTAATTATTTATAATATTTAAAACATTTTTAACAAGTGTTTTTACTTTGTTGGTATTTTCAATAAATAACATTTAACGTAATTATATAAGATATAATAGGCAAATATAATACTCTTTCTTCGGTTAGTAATTTAAATTAATAATTGCTTAGTTAATACTTAGATCGTTGGCATTTATTAAATTATACCAAAATAATTAAATTAAATAATACATAAACATGAAATTGATAGTACAACCTATAACATTATTTATTTTTGAATATTCAGAAATATGTTGCTGTTTTAAATAATTTTAAACTTTTATGGAGTTTTATATCAATAATAAAGTTAGAATATATGAATTTAAAAAGTTATGACTTATGAAAATAATTGAAAGATTAGTTATTTTTTTAATGAATCAAACGAGAATGATAAGCTGTACTAACTTCATCTCCTTCACCATCTGATGTCTCCACTGTTATTTCCAAATGTTTTTTGGAATCATCAGATTTAATCACCTAAGCATAAGAAGTATTAATTATCAAATTAATTTATGTTTATGGGACTATATAGCAGTTACATATAAGTATACACATTATCATAAAAATATAATTATAAAAATTTGTAAAAATATATTTACAAAAATCAATTAATATAATGGTATAAATAAAGATTTAATAAATAAAATTTGTTTTATTGTTAAAAAATACGAATTTAGTATATATGTTACTGTTGCAACTTACTTTAGCATTTGACATTTCTGCAATAGGATTGCAATATTCGTGTTCTCCCGGCAAAAGAATTGAACTCGTACTTGATAAATTGTTGTTTCTTCTGGTAAATGACGGATTTTGAAAATGTATACTATAAAATATATATGATTATACGATTAGATATAAGAAATGCACAATTCATAATGGTATTTTTCGATATAAAGGAATTGTTAGTTTGATAATCTAAAATAATGTGATTCATAGAAAATAAATTTGTTAAAAAAAAAAAATTATCTAAAATTTGGTTAAATATTGTAGGAATAAACAATAAATATTTTTCAGAATAACTTTATATGGTATGGTAGAGATCTTTAAATATGCATCTAATAATTCTTATAACCATAAGTTTTAAGCACTTGGACATACTTTGATGAATTGAAATTGCACATATAAGATTTACCTGAGATCTCTGCGTTTAAAGAATCCAGGCCTCTTCTTCTTAAGATATAAATAGATGCTAAATAAGAGGGCGAAGCCAGCAAGAGTGACCCCAATGCCAGTGAGAATACCCGCTCTTTGTTTAGTACTTTGATGTCGGGTGCGTGTTACTACAGGAATTTCGTCCAGCGGAAAACCAATCTGAGTGTTCTCGAGCGAGAGTTCGTCTCCAGAAGAGTCATCCAAGCAGGAGGTACCGTTACGGTGTTTAGCGGGGAATCCATTGCTACAAATGCAAGTTGCTCTAGCATTGCGTATCACGCACATGTGCTCACAGTTATGATTCTTGCATTTATTTGGACCTACGAATAGACGTACGCTTATGTTATAAAATAACATTAAGACAAGAATTCAACTTGCATTCAGACAAATTTTCGCTATAGTTACTACAAATATGATACTTAATATTCACATATATACGTTTGTGTTAAATTGGCATATTATAATTACATGTTTATTCTTTATAATGTTACAAAAGTTTTATTACATAATTATATTGATACTAAAGTTTTATTAAATATGCTGATGTTCTTTAATTAAATATATAGATCTTATATGGTTAATTTTTAAGGATTGGTATAAGAGATATATAAGTAATCATAATTTCATCAACAAAGCATAACAGTTAATTTAAGATAATCCAAACGGAGCGGAATAACTGCTAAATTGCATATACTAACATTGTTTTAAATATTATATTTTATATAATAATAAAAATCAGCCGAGAAATAATATATACATAATTACCTGTTGGCTGTCTAGAAATTTGAGATATTACAAATAATCTATTTAAATTGTTGCTAGGAATTAAAATTAGACTATAAGTCATATCTCCATATAATTGACGCTTTCTGAGATAATCGTTTTTTTCAGGTTTCCAGTACAATGAATCCTCGTAAAAATGTAGACTGATTGGTTTCATCTAAAAAATTATAAATCATAATCTACATTTTAGCTTTAAATTAATAGAAATATAACAAAATACGTCAAGAAAATACTATTTATTTTTATTAATTATTTTTGTTAAAAATTTTAATATAAATTTTAATTATGAGACTATTATTAATACAAAAATTTTGAATATTAATGTAAACTTGATGTATAACTAATACTTTAAATTACATATGAACAAACAACGTATTTTTATTTCAGAAAACAAATTTTGTTATATTATTGATATATTTAATGAATCTATTATCTAATAAATTTCAATATTGAGAAATATTTAACAATTTATTAAATAAACGGTTCGAAAAGAAAAATTTATACAAAAATAAACATTACCAGAAGATGTTCTAAAATTACTTTTCGATTATCACCATTGTAATCGATACATTCGATAGTAGCCTCATAATTATCTGCCCAATATACAATAGATCTATGAGTATCAATTGTTAAACCAGTAACAATTCCAAGATTGTCGTGAACAATTATCTTCTTATCAGCTCCTATTACATCAGAACGCATAATTTCACTCGTCGATTTTTCATAAATTTTCCACGTTACCTCACTCCAAAAAAGTATTCTAAAATTTTTTTATATATTTCAGTATATAAACAGTATATAAATGGATATATACAAAATTATAATAGAAAATCAACATTATAAATTAACATTAATGATGCAAGCGTTAAATAAAAAAGGAAATTTTAAGTTATTTTTTAAAATGAAATCATTTACTTGACTATTTATTCTTTATAATAACTTTTTAAATATAAAATATAAAAATAATTAATGAAAATAATATTTAAAAAAACATTGGAAATAAAATAAATATACTGATGACAGATATGAGACAAAATAGAATATTTTATTGCAAACATAATTTCAATTAATAAATTTATCTTTTTTATAACTAATATTTGCTTACTCTTTCCGAGGTTCAATTGCAATAGCTGTAACTTTTTTATGAGATTCTCCGATATGTACAATAGTTGAACATTTATTAGCATCCATATCGCAAGCCTAAAAATATTCATATTTAAAATTAATATAAATGAAAACTGATATTGTGTTAATAACTTATTTATAACATTGCGTGAATACAGTATACTTACATTATATGTACTATACAGTACACTATACACATACTATACAGTACATTATAGATATACAATCATATAATATTGAATTAAAGTATTATGATACCTTAATAATAGGTGCAGCTTTGTTATCGAAAAAATAAACGTTGTCAGTAATCCAATCGACTGCTAGTATTTCCGGTCTTCCTATTCCGTTATTAATAGTGCTGTGTTTTTTTGTATCCATATTCATTTTATTAATTATTCCCATCATTTCTAAAACAACAAAATTATTATTATTGTTATTACTGTTATTGTTGTTTTATTGTTACTATTATTCTTATCGTTATCTTTATTATAATCATGACGTATCTTATAAATATATAATTATATCATAATAAATATCTCATCACAATAAATATATATATATATATATTATATCAATTATAAATACGAGTACAGTATACATTTATTAAACTGTAATTATTTCACACAAGTTGAATAAAATAAAATATTTCCAGTATTTTTAGTTTTTATAGTAATTGAAAGCATTATAGTTAATTATATATTAAAACTTCATTCAATACTTGTAAGCTTTATTTTCAAGCTATTAAAATTGTTTAATGGGTTTTATACCATTTTTAAGTCCATTAAATTACCGTTACTCCAATATATGGTGTTTGTATTTGTATTAACGTCTAATCCAGTAATTTCAATTCCTGGATTACGATAAATTAGGACGAGAGACTGGTAGCGTGACAATGGTGACATTATTTTAATGTCATCTTTGGTCGCCGTAATTATTTTTACTGCTGGTCCTAAAACAATACAATCTAATTAATACATATGTTAAAATGTCATGAAATTTAAATTTATATTAATAATTAAAAACATGTCTATATAATATTATTTTTTATATAATATTATAAATTTGTATAACTTTTTTCATAAATTAATTGTGTTTATATTTTAAAATCTATAGATTAGTAAACTTCAAAATTCTGTATAATTTTTTTACTTTAACATAAATATTTTGTAAATTATATTTTACATGTAGTATACAAATAATATTTTTAATAATATAAATATTGTTTAGAAAGTTTTTATGATAATTATGATTATAAAATATATAAATTATTTAATATAGTGTATGGATATTATATTATAAACGATATCCAACTTTGCATTGGTAATAAAAACTTAGTACTTATACTAAATATTTATTAACAGAATATTAAAAATAAATAATTCAAATAAATATTTATATTATATTTCAATTATTATAATTTTAGTATTATAATTCTTCAGATTCTGTTTAACAATTTTCAAAATGTAAAATTGGGAACCTTGTATGTACCAATGGGTTTGCAGGATAATTTATCTAAGCGTAGTATATAACCATCAAAACAGGCACAGGAAAAAGATCCTGGAAGATTAGTGCAGAGTTGAGGACAAATATTTTGTTGACATTCATCGATGTCTTCACACGATTTCATATCTGTTCCCAATTTGTAGCCATTACGACAACTACAAATCGGACCGGTTGGCGTTTTGTAGCAAAAGTTTTCACACGTGTTGCTTTCGCATGCTGATTCTGTAAGATTGAGTACCAATATAATATTTATCAAAATTGTTTCCATTCGTATTGGTTATTAATTTAATTATTACATTAATTAGAATGTATGAATCCTGTATTCTGTATATTGTTTCTGTGATAGAACGAATTTTTTAAATGAAAATAATTAGACATAATATTGTAACAAACTATCAATGCAGCAAAAAGTATTATAAATTTTCAGACAAATATACATACACGACATAAATGTTGCAAACTATCGAGTCTTTACACAAATAACTGCGTATCCAAGATTTTTTTAATAAAAGAATACTTAAATTGCCTCTGAATTATAAAATGTATTTGCAGCATCTTATGAAATTTAATAAGTCAAATAAAAGTAATAATTTATATCATTAATACATAATTATATCTTGCATAAAAGTAGAACTTCAATACATTAGAATAAATATAGAATTAATAAAATATTCTTTGAATTTACACAGCATGTCATAAATGCTTAAAAAATATCTGTCGGGGGTTATTGTTAAATTTCTTGCTAAAATAATTCAATTATTTAATATAAAAATATTTTACAATAGAAAATAATTAAATCCATTACCAAAGTAGAACTACTTAATTCGGACATTAAGTTGGATTTACGAACCGCATTCACCGCCCTCGTCGCTACCATCGAGACACTGTCTCTCGCCGTCGCAAGCCTTGTCGAGGGACAAACAGAATCCCGTGCGGCAAGCGAATTGACCGTCGGAACAATTGCTGGGTCTAGCCTCACCGGTGAAAGAAATGACAGCCTGCTGCTTGTCTTTGCAGTGCAGTTCGTCCGAGTCGTCGCCGCAATCATCAGTATTGTCGCAAGCCCACTCGAGCGGTATACAGTTTCCATTATGACAGGTGAACTGGACATCTTGGAGGCAATGACCGCAACCATGTTCGTCGTCGTGACCCGGGCAATCCGCGTGGCTGTCACACCTAAGAGCGTATTTTCTTCATCAAAACTGCTCTTACAATTATTAGAGTTTCTGCCGCTTACTCTATAATCTATTTTTAATTTGATGGGTATACTGGAGACAAAACATCGTAATTAGGAGCGTAATTATATTAAGTAACGCGAATGATATTATTTTATTATTTGAAGTACTGCAAAATACTGTAGTGGGAATATGCAATAAATATTGTTCAATAAAATTACCTTCGCCTTTTATCTATGCACATTGTACTATTTCGACATTTGTATTGATCCTTTGTACATATCAGTGCTTCGAATTTCGTATCTTCTGAACAAGAAACTTCATCTGTATTATCACTGCAATCATCAAAACCATTGCATTTCAATAATACGTCGATGCAACGACCATTTTTGCAACTAAACATACTTTGAGCACATTGACTTGGTTTACATGAATCATGCTCGTCTGAACCATCATCACAGTCAATCTATGAATTTTAATAATTACAATTATTTAGAATAATGCAATTAATCACCTAATTATAATCAATACATTTATTAAATCTACTTTTGATTTTTTTTTTATTTAATACATTTTTTTTTAATTAGTTTTCAACATTATTATAATTTTAAGTCATTTGATTTAATATATTTCTCACACATTTAAATATATTTTACATAGATAATTTCGTATTACTGCAATGTTTAAAAATTAAAATAGAATAAGAGTTATATAACGTGTAACGAAACATCAAATTATATTATCATAGTTTTAGCATACGATAATATTAATATTACTAGTGTTATATTAGTCTAAAATTGAAAGAATTTACAAAAGTAAATAATACCTGTCCATCACACTCCCAGTTTTGTGGAATACAAATTCCAGAAGTACATTTGAAGGAATAGTTCTCGCATTTGTAATCGCGACAATTTTTTTCATCGGATAAATCGTAACAATCATCCAAGCCATTGCAAACTAAATTTTTTGATATGCAAGTCCCACTTTGACAACGGTATTCGTCTATAAGGAAATACAATACCTGATTTTATTTATTTAAAAGTTTATTACTTTTCAATATATTAATAAAGTTATTATCAGAAAATTGAAATATTATCAAGTAAAATTTTTCATACAGTGACTTGAAAGATTAATAAATTTTGAAATTATTATGAGTTTATTTAATAAATTATTCATAAAAATTTATGTTTCATAAACATTTTAAGTTTGGTTTATTATAAATAAAATTAAATGATTCCGACAGACTAAATTACTAATTTTATAAAATAGTGATAATATTTACCTTCTCCACAGTTATGATTTTCACAATTTTCTTCATCTGAATGATCATTACAATGTGCATAGGAATCACATCGATAATACTTATTAATGCATTCACCACTATGACATGTGAATTCATATTTTTGACACAACGATGCAGTTATAGTACAATTCTTTTCATCCTCTCCGTCTGGACAATCATAAACTCCATTACATCTATAAAATTAAAATTTTTGTTAATACAATATTTTAAAATTCTATTTTTATATTACATATCAAAACAATAAAATAGAAATCATAAATACCTCCGTACTAATTTAATACATTCGTTATTATTTGTGCATTTCATCTCATCTTTGGAACATGAGGCTTTGATTTTGCAAGATTTTTGATCAGGATTTATTATGAAGTTTGTTGGACAAGCACATAGCTGAAATAAATTAACAAATATTAATACATTAAGGAATAAAGGACGCAATGTAGATTATCTAAGTTTAAAACTTACTCTGTGATTATTATCGGTAACAAGACAAATATGCGAACAATCACCATTGTTTTTACGACAAATATGTATTAAACCATTATAAATTCCGTCAATCGTTTGTAAATATAATACACTTGAATTATTTGAAACTTCTAAAATATTTTAATAAAATTTAATACTCTTATTATTTAATGTTCAATATTTTTTACTTTATTTAAAAAGTATTCTTAAGATATTTATATAAATTTTTATTATTTATAAAAAATTTGAATAATTAAAAATCAATGAATTCTAACACACACGCGCGCGCACGCACGCACGCACGCACATATGTATACATATATATGTGTTAGAATATATGTCAATATATATATATTTATTTATTTTTATAATAATTATATTAGTCTTATACATACGTAAATTTACTCCCTTATTTCCTGGTATAAATTGATTCTTATTTGCCCAATTAAGACGATATGATTTGCGTGTAGTCCAGAAAACTTCGTTATTCAATACAATTAAGTCAGTAATCGGCGGAAGACTCGTACGAAAAACAAGTCTATTTTTACCTGTATAGATAATATTTATTATTAATGAAAATACTATATTATAAAATTATCTGAAAATTGGAAAGACTTAATAATTATAATTATTAATAATTAAAAATAATACTCTGCAAAATAAATGGATTATATAAAAAATTAATAATACGATTACTGAACTCGAAAATTTAATTTAAGGTTTTATCCCACAAATTATCTTCTAAGTAAATACATATAAATAATAAGAAAATGATACAAAACCTGTAGTATCAATGCTTTCTATGCGCCCCGTACCTTCATCAGCCCAATATACACGCTTTACTTCTTGATCATAAGCTAATGAAATCTTCATACCGAATAAATCGTGTTCAACTAAATGAGTCCTTGAGCCCAAACCATTCATTTGTACTTTATCAATATGAAGATTTTTCAATTCTCCAAAAACTACAAACATGATTCTAAACAGTATAAAAATTAAAATAATATTCATTAATAATACATTTTTATATTTTCAAGGCGTTCTTATTTATATTTTTAAAGACAAATCAAATTATGTCTTCCTATCAATTATAATTTTGATAAATATAATTTCGATAAATAAATTATTTAGGATGTAAATGAAAATTTTCCTGATATAGCTTGAGTAAAAAATGATAATTAAATTATCACGAACATATTTTATAATAATTATTATATATTTCTTGACTTTCAAAAATAAAATATTTAAGACATTAATAACTTACCCATCTTCAGGGACAAGAATTATATCATATGGATGCTCCGTAAAAAAAAAATCAGTTTCTTCACCAGTAGTTAAACTATGCACTTCAATCTTCTTATGTTCAGTATTACTTATATATAAATTGTTACCAAAGTAATCAAATGCCATATTCTTAATTACACCATTTCCTATTGACATTATGTGGTTAATTATACCACTATGATGATTAAAGCGGAAGATTGATTTATTCATTTCGTCTGCAGCAATAAGTGAATCTAAACAGAAATGAATATATTAATGAAAACATAAATCATAAATACTAATTAAATTTATGGAAAAAGAGCTTATGACGTAAATATATTTTATTTTCTTAGTAATCGATAAATATACATTATAATTTTCTGGCAAAAAAAGAAATTTAAAAACAAAATTTTTTATAATCTATATAACAAATTTCAAAATAGTTTAACAAATATTAAATTTGTTAACTTAAGCATGAATATTAGCCTAATGAGAAAAAAAAACTTTGCATAATATAGTAGGAATGAGATTTTAAGATCAACTTCTTAATAATCATAAATAAAAGATATGATCCATTATTTATTCTAATAAGCTTACCATTTAGTGATAAATATTCCACTTATATTTATTATGCAAAATATCATACACAACTACAAAATTTCATATCATAAATAAATTTTATTTGATAAAATTTAGAAGAAGCTGAAAAATAATATATATTTATTTTGCCTTCAATTTTCATCTTGAATTATATTTACTAATTTAACTTTTATTTAAGATGAATATACAAGAATTTTTAAATATATATTTCGAAAATATAATTTTGGAAAATAGAATTATTTTAAATATTTTTTTGGTAGAATATTGAGACTTTTCGAAAAAGCGAGTTTTCAAGTTATTTTTTGAACAATAATATTTTAAAATTTATTAGAAATAAGTATATATATACAATATTTCATGGTAGGAATCATTTGATTTTTTTATTAAATGATAACGATGCAGAAATTTTCAGATAATGACACGATTTTTAATAATAAATTTATTTTTAATAAAATTATTCTTAAAATTAAAAAAAATGATTTTACAATAAAATTTTTTGATTTTAAAATAAAAAAATTTAACAATAAAAATCAAGATTAAATTGATTAATTATAGTTATAATCATTTATGGCAATATCATTTTATTTTTAAGTTAAGCCAGTTAGTCGTAAAATATTTATTAAATTGAATATAAAATATAAACTTATTAAATAAGAAAGTATGGTACATTTTTAAATTATTAAGAAAAAATATTCTAAAAATCTATCGTTTTTTATAAGTTATTATTAATTATTATCTTATAATTTATTATTATTTTAACAGATAATTCGTAATTATTAGATATAATTATACTTTAAGCATAGTAAACATTAAAATTATAATTATATATTATATATACCATAAACTAAAATAAATTAAAAAATACCTATTGCTTTAAAAAAAAGCTATTTTGGAAAATGAGTAATTAATTTATTCATTAATTAATAGAAGAAAACTCTTTAAGAGTTCTTAAATTACTGAAGGTGCATACGAAGATTTGAAAATATCTACCAGAGTAGCAGCATATGATATTTTGCATTTGAGGCGTAATAAAAATATTTGTGGTCTTATTTTATAATTTTTTTAATATTCTTAATTCAAACTTTATTTTAAACGTATGAATATTAACAAAATTCGTTATTGAATTAACAGTCGATAGAATCAAACAAATCAAATTAAAAAGATAGAGTATATCCTATTCGATATTGTCGAAAATATAACAATATTTTTAAAAATGCTGTGAAAATATAACAATATTTTTAAAAATGCTGTAAAAATATTTAGGATTTCATTCACTGAACATAAAAATTTGGATAAATGATTCGAAAACTGCAAAAATCAAAGAATGATGATTCACAACCTATAGACTCATTAAATAACATGAACATCGAAAATTATTTGTAAGAAAAGTATTTGAAGAAGTAGATGATAAATATTATAAGAAAATACTAATAAAGTATAAATATCTACCGATAAGTATATATTTATTTTGTAAAAAATTTTATTGTGAAATATATTACAGACAAATTCGTTTCTCATCTACTTACAGCAAAGTAGAAGAAATGATGTGTTTCTTCAGTCATTTATCTTCTTTACGAGGTATAACTGGATACTGAAAATATTATTATAAGTAATGAAATATATCATTGCAGCTAATACTCTGATATTAAACGTGAAATTTCAAGAAGAACAATATCAAAAGAGAAAAATACATATCAAATTTGTTCTAATATTATATTATTTTAAATTAAAAATTACAAATTTTTCCCATTCATACAGAATCTATTGCTATATAATTGTTTAAATGAAAAAGATATTATTAAAATCTATGTCTGAAAATTATTTATTAAAATATGCCAGAAAAATATAAATTTGATTAAAGGATATTATACTGTTTCTTTTTATACTGTGAACTTAAAATCCTACTTAAAAAATACATTTTTTTTACAAATTAAAAATTTGAGGAAAATAATAAGAGTAAATATTATAGAGAATATCCAAATGAATATGACCTAATTGGATAACTTGACCCAAAATTTAATTAATTTTATAACATAGTAAAACTTATTGATAAATATAAAAAGATGCTGAAAAGAATTATTTTAATAGTCATTAATTAATTACTTGTGCTAATTTAAAATGAAAAACAGTCTTATATTAAAAAAATTTGGATATATTACGGAAAATATGTGTACTTACCAACGAGTGAGTCGTAGGTTAAAGCAGTAATATGATCCAATATAATTCTGGAACTTTGTTTTGGTTTTCCCAATAATTCATGATAATAATCGATAATGATATTTTTGGCAGCGATTGCAATGTGTTTTTTTTTCGTCAAATCTATAGATAAAATATAATATATTTACTTTGTTCTTTTGAAATATATATATATATATATATATATATATATATATTATGATAATGAATTCACAACTCTCATAATTAATTGATAATAACTTAATATTTAAATTAAATTCTTATTCACTAATTTGTAAAGTATTCATCTTAATTAATCTCGATAAAATACAATTCAATTTTATATTGAATGATTATGTAATTTTTCTAAATTCTTAGAAAAAGAAAAACCAAGAAATAATATATGAAACTATAGTTTAGCAACGAATATTATATGTGAGTAGATATTCGTTCATCTCTCGAGAGAAAGAAGAGAACTTAAGTTTCACTATTTGTGTAAGCTTTAAAAAATAACAAGTTTTTTCCTTCAGTAGGACAGACGAAATTTCCGCTAAAACTATTTATAAATCATATTCTTCTTTGCCTTAAATTCATCTATTTAATACCTTTGCATAATTCATAATTTATTAAAATCTTTCCTGTTTAGGAAACGTTTTTGTTTATAAACAATAAGCATGAAAATATATTATTAAAAAATAATGAATTATATTCCATATCTTTAAGGGAAAGCATTATAAAATCTGAAAACAATTGTAATCAAAAGATATATAAATTATTTTAAAGACATCAATGTGAAATGTTCAGCAAGTGTTTTTATATCTCCTATTTCATATTAAATTAGAAAATGAATTATCATATTATATTATATTTCTAATATTATTAATTTAAAGGATTCCATTAAAGGATTCTAAATAAATTTTTCTAAATGCAATCAATACATAATTAAAATAAATATTGGAAAAAAGGTTTTCATTATTTTGTATTTATTGTATTAATTTATTTTAATTTATTGTCATTAATAGTATACTAACTACGACGTTAATATTTTATTGAAATAAGAATCCATAATATCTGAAGCACTACTTTATATATTAAAAGATATATTTCTTAATATAAAAATTAAAAAATTTAACGATATTTGTATACCAAATGTTTTAATTAATATTTAATTATTAATGTTTATATAGGTCAAAAATATTTACTTAAGATTATAACAACAAATATTTATCAATAGTATAATTTATAAATAGTTTAATAGATGTTTATACGTGTCATTGTTTGAAATCCATTTTTATGGTTGATTATTTTATGTTATAAATTACAATATAGAAAAACGTAAGTTTAAAAATACGTTAATGTGGGAGTAAAATTAACATGTTTAACCGATTAAACGAAAAGTAAAAAATTTTTAATATATAATTAAAGATTCAAAATAAATATGTTAGATAGAATTGAGATTCTAACAGGTATTTTAATTATTGAACCTTTCTTTCCTACCTCGACAAGTGTGTTGATCTTCGTTTAATTGTTTGTCTAAAGTACATGCGCAGGTGTATGTTCTATTAGTGGTTAAAAGACATAGTTGAGAACAAGGCTTCGTAAGGCAAGGATTTTTAAACTAAAAATTTAAGAATAATAGTAGAAACAATATAAGATTACATTAGCATTAATAACATTAATAACTAATAATTATAATAATTAATAACAATAATAATAAAATTAATAATAACATTAATAATTAATAACATACCAATCAAACAAATTTTTATTTGAAACATTAGAAAGATATTTTATTTTTAAATAGCAATATTTTAAAGTAGTTACTTTTTAATTTAAACTCTTCAAAGTTTTAAATTATAGTAAGAAAATTCATCTTCGAAGAATATGTTGCAAAAATTATTATAAATTTCTTTTTTATATTTATTATATAACAGTAAAAAATTGAAATGTATTGAATATCAATCAATTTTAATTATTATAGAATTGAATCAGTTTCAAATACCAATTTTGTGACATATTACAATCTGTTATAATATATTCTTATACTTAATGATTTTCAAATAATAGTCTTGTTTAATAGTATCAAGTTTTAAATATATATATATATATATTTATTTATTTATATTTATTATATTAACAATATCGATAATCAAGAAGTGCTAATTAGGAATCATAAGCTTTTTAAATTATTTAAAGAATAAAATTCTTTATATTACCTTTCCTTTTAAGGATGAATGATAAATATGTAATCCATATAAAGTTTCATTCGAATGAAACAAGGTAACGTAATCTTTACCATTAAATTTGTTACAAGAATGAATTTCGTTAGTACTCCAGTCACTCCAATATAATCGATCTTCAAAAATAGCTATAGAGTATGGATGATTAGCAACTGCATGCAGAATCGTCTGAAATTTATTTTTAATTCCATAAAATATTTAAAAATAATAGAATTAACAACTAATATATACCTATATATTTTTTTCAATTATTTCAAAAGAATTGTACAATATTGTTTTTAATATCAGTTTAAAATGAACGTATTTCCCATCTTTTCAAGTATTAAAAGAAATTATATAAATAAAAGAAAAAATATTTTTTCAATGGATATTTTTTCAAATTATAAAATTATTAGAGTTCATTATATTTAATAAATACAATATTCTTAATATATTATTCAGTATTATTTTTCATTAATACATAAGGAAGTTGATTTAAATATGTATTCTCATTGAACGTATACAAATGATTTCTATGATTTTGCTATATATTTCTTTTTAATGTTTTTGTATTCTTATCATATTATTGGTTTAAATAAGATAACATAAATCACCTTATGAATATATATTCACTATTATTTATCATTTTATATTTTTTAATGATTAATAATCTTAACTCGTTAAGTAACTTTTTATATTTACAAGTTATTTAGATCATGATTATTTATTCTATTAAAAATATTTTTAAATATATAAAACTTTATTCTTATCATTATGAATAGATTTTTCATTCATGATATATTTAAATGTTTAAAAGAGAAATTATTTATCGAGACTAACCCTTCGATCCAGACCATTAAGAAGAATTGAGTCGATGACTTTTAATTTTGCATCTACCCAATAAAGCCTTTTACTTGGATAATCTATGGTTAAACCATTCGGCCAACCAATCTTTTCCTTGATAAATAACGATTTTTGCTTGCCATCCATGTTTGCTATTGATATATGGGGATTTTCTCCCCAATCACTCCAAAACATTTTTCTATGTAAAAATATTATTATTAATTTTATAAATAATATTCCTAAAATTTACATTGAATTTCTAATTTGTTGGAATAAAATGTCTCAATAAAAAAATAGCAAATGTCATGTGTATATTGTTTATTTAAAAATGTATTTGATGAAAGAGTAAAATATGATATATTGATTGGAAGTAAAGAAATTATTTTATAAATAATTTAAAAATATTCTATAAAATCGAACCTTTCAAATTTATGAGAATATATGCATAATTATTTAATATATATATATATATATATATTTATATCAATTACTATACATAAATTGATAGTTTATAAAAATCATTAATTGCAAATAATAATAATGTTACCCTTCAGATGGTAATAAAGCAATGCCTCTTGGTTTTTCCGTATTTTCATTAATGATCACCGTGCAAAAAGAGCCATCGTTATTACAAACCCCAACATGTTTGTATGCACTGTCAGTAAAATAAATATTTCCCGTGACCCAATCTACAGCGATGTCTTCGGGAGAACTAAGGCCTATAAATCATTTAAACAGTTAAAATAATAAAAATATAATAATAATTTAAAAACTGAAAATTATCTGTAATCACAATTAAATTAATGTCTACATGAACAATAAAATAATAAGCTATTTAATATAATAATTTTTTTAATGAAATGATTAAAATATAGAAGAAGGATTTAATCGTATAAATATTAAAAGTAAGAAAATATTCGATTTATATTTGTTCAGCAATCGATTAATACAATTTACAGAATAAATATCTCAACTTATATAAATATGTAGTAAATATTTTAAGTAGAAAAAATTATATTTTTATTTTATTTATAAATTACTGTAATAGCAAACTATTAATTTTTTAATATTTGACTAATTTTTAAAAGTTATTTTGTTTTATTTTTGATTACTTTAGTTTGAATAACGTTTTAAAAAGAATGTATATTAAATATTTATAGAAATATTTATGACAATTAATAAAAAATTAATGATATTTGAGTAATAATTATAAGGTAAGATAAATTATTACCAGCATTTACGATCACTTCTTGCTTATTGCCGTCATCCAAGCTGCGGAAGATAGTTTCTTCACCAAACTGAATGTCCGACCAATAGATGTGAGTAGAATCTAATGTGACGCCTACTAAATGCTGCATGTTGACGATAATTGGAAAATAAATTTTTGAATCAAGATAATAACCACGTATCATTGTTTTCGATGCAAAAACCATGAAGGCCTCCCCGCCTATCAAAATAAAACATGGTCACATATTTTCTACGATACAGAATTTATTAGAAGAGATTTCATACACTAATCATTCATTTTTAATAATTTAGTAATGAAGATGAATACAATTTACAGTGTTCACATGTTATGTACATAGAGAAAGCTACATACAATTCTGTACATAAACTTATATGTGCAATATTCTTAACTGAACAAACTAGAAATGCATATAAACATTTATAAAGGAATTCAACTTATATATATATATATGTTTAACGAAATTCATGGTATATTTGATAATATTTGTAGATTTGATCTAAAGTATATTTAAATATATATTGTATATTTGATATTTGTATATTTGATCTAAATTTGTACGTCCCTTCAAAGTTATTGATAATTTTACATTTTGATATATATCATAATCATATTAGAACAAATTTAATAAAATAGAATAAAAAATAAACTAAAAAAATATACTGTTAGCTTTGCAGGTTTTTCCATCCTCTTGCAGTTTGTAGTTGAGTTCACATTGACAATAAAAAGAGCCCACTGTATTTCGACAGCTTTGTGAACATATTCCATACTCTAGACACTCATTTATATCTGTAATATAATTATTAAAAAAAAAGAAAAAAAATCAGTATAAGTTGTTATTAATTACTGTGCTTATGTATAGGTTATAAAACATTATAATTTTTATTGAAATTTCACTAAACTAAGGGTTATAAATTTAAAAAAATAAAATTGAAAGGTGGAATTATAATTTTATAATAAGCTTTGTTTGGGCTGTTAACGTTCTAATTTACTATTTCCTTGTTTTTAAAAAATAAAAATTATGAGGGAAATATAAATTATCTATAAAAGGAGGAAATTTGTTTTTTACTGTAAAATAAAATCGAACCTTTATATAAAATATTTTATATACAATTGTATGAAATTTATGAAAAATTAAAAATTATCATAAAATTTATTTAAATTCATAATTTTACTTTATTATTGTATGACATCATATACAACTAGTTTAATTTACTTAAATTAAATATATTATACATATATCAACATAAATAATATATTAAAATCAAATGACATATATTGATAATTATTCACAATATTTCATACACTTTTTTTAGATAATATATTTATTGAAAAAAATTAAGATGGGAACAATATAATCGAATTATTTAATTATATATAATATTTATTATTTTTTGGAAAACAAATACTTAATAACACTTCTAGGTAAAATATATTTTTATATAATTATTCATTCGGTACAGATCATTTATAATTTATTTTACTCTAATTCAAATGAATATGTTATTATTTATACTAATGATGAATATTTAATTAAATTGTATTTTGGACCATAATTTTATTATAAATACCATTATTGTTTTACTATGTATACTCGACTGTTTCACCGATAAATTTATGTAACATATTTTTATTTATTATAGTAAATACATGTATTCATATATTCTCCAATGGTTAGCCTTTCAAATTTATTGCAGGAAAAACATTATAAATTCATGATAATTCATTTCAATAATAATTAATCTTTTTCTTTTGCTCAAAATTATTAGATGTTGATATATAATTATTTTTTTCTTAAAAAATTTCGATTGTTTAATATTTTAGGATCCTTATTATATATTCAGTTAAGATAAAAACTCACCTGTAGTAAAATGTATATATTTTTATTGATAAAATTTAATAAACTTTCTATATTGTTATTATTAGATTTCTTTCCATAAACATACATAAACATTTCGTCTGCCTATTAATTGTATTAAGTCATTAAATGATGTAATTAGATTTTTTTATTGTAAATATATTGATAATAAAATATAATTAAATAACCATTATTAAGGATATATGCATAATAAAACAACCATAAAAAACTTACAGTTTATATCACAAATGAATGTCAAACTTGTAAATTGCTATTGCAATAAAATTATTTAAGAAATATGAAAAAAGTAAGAAATTATACGTCATTATAAAATATTATATATGTGAGTATGAAAAGAAAAAAATGTTAGTAATACTAAAATCATCGTGTATTTATCACATTTTATAAAAATAATTAATTAGTGCATAAAGAAATACCTTCACATATTCCATTAGGTTTTAATACAAATCCAATATTACAAGAACATTTATGGCCTGCTGGTGTTGCTGAACATTTGTGTTGACATGATTGCGTTGTATTGCATACTGCTTGTGCTAAAAATAAATGTATATTGAAAAATTATATAACTACTAATTTTACTTAAGAATTTCCAATTTATATCAAATTAAATAATAAATTTTATTTCATTTTACAGTATTAAACTCCAGATATTATATTTTCAAAGATTTTTGTTTATATAATTTATAAAATTTCTATTAGATAAAAATATTGCAAAGTATAATAAAAATAAAAAAAATATATAATGGTAACACAGAATTCCAAAATATAAATTAAAATAAAATAATTTTCAATTATAATTCTTATTATAGATACGTACAGGAAAGATAAAATAAAAAGTATTGACTGTTTATTTACTGACAGTACTTATCAACAAATATATTTTAGCTTTTTTCTAATTCATAAATATTTTATAACATAGCTTCAATTTTTTGTTCGTTTTATTTAATTCAAATGATTTCAATTAATTTGTAATTATAAATTTTATTTTTATAAATACATTAATACATCGAAAATTTCGTTGATCATTAATGAATTTGAGTAATATGTAATACAATAATATATATAAATTATTAATCAAATAAAGTAAAATTTTAATTAATTTTTATATTATTTTTATATAAAAACAACTAAAAATCTTACCTTTCTTACATTCAGAAGAATTCTCATCTGAATCATCACCGCAATCATTTTCACCATTACAAGTTAACGATAGAGAAATACATCGTTTATTAGTACATAAGTATTTACCGAATGCATTGTTACAATTTTCGAGTAATGTTGGTAATTTATCTGGAATTTAATTCAAATTTTCTTATAGTTATATTGGAATACAATATCATTTATTTTAAAAGCATATTATCAAATTTAGGCATACCACAATTTAATTCATCGCTATTATCCATACAATCGTCTTTACCATCGCAAACCCAATTTTTATTGATACAGTGATTATTTAGGCATTTGAATTGATTGCAAGTTTTCTTAAAAAAAAAAAAATAAATAAATTTTGCCTTATGTACATTTTACATACTATATAGCATCAAGAATATACAGTATAAATGAAATAATAATTAATGATATAAGTATTCTATACTTATATTTTTAAAAATCAAACTTTTCTTATATTTATTCAAAAACTTCTCCTACGTTAAATATTTAATAAATCATAATCTTATGAGTTCAGATTTTTTTCATGATTAAAAATATAATATTTATAATTTACGTGTTTATATTTGATGCTTTGAAATTAACTTTCAAATGATATTATTCATATGTGAATTTTTTAATATTTACATTTAGATGACAGTTTTGGTATTCATCACTACCATCCAGACAGTCCAATTTATTATCACAAAATTCTTCAAGTGGAATGCAATGGAATTTATCAACACACTGGTATTCATGTGATTTACATACCTCATCAAATGTCTAAAATTTAATAATTATTATCTTCAGATAAAACAATCTTAGTATATGAAAAGCCAAAATAAAATTATTTACAAGTATAATTTGATCATTATTTTATAGAATTCTTAAAGAAATTACCGGTAACTGTATTCCGCAATCACTTTCATCAGAATTATCTAAACAATCATCTTCTCGATCACAAACGAAATATTTAGAGATGCAATGATCATTTTTACACTTAAAAAATTTGGGTGGAAGACATTCTGAACCTATAATATAAAAATCAGTCGTTTAATTACGTTTTTATTTCAACTTTGTTTTTTTTTTGTTTGTTATTTACTACAAAACTGAATAAAAATATTATTTTGTACTCCAAAATTCTGAATTCTGAAATCATAATTAATTGATAAAATACTACCTCTAAATTGTAACATTTATTAACAATTTTTATTTCATATAAAAACATTAAATTTTTATGAGTGTACTTCGAAAAAATGTTTGTTTGAAAAGATTTTTTTTTATAATTATTAAACAAGCTATAATTTGTAAAACATTAATTTTGGATGTTCCTGATAATATTTATTAATTATGAAGTATATAGTTAAATAATCATCATTTAGAGTAACATTCTAAATTATGATAATAATATCATTATTATTTATTATAGTTGTATATTTACATATTGATAATTAAAAAATGCATGTCACTTACAAGAAATATGTTTTGATAAATGTTGTAGGTATTTGGTATATATTCTTAATTACACTTCAGTATTTGCAATTGATTTAATAAATTATTTAATAAGAAGATTAGATTGAATGAAATTTGAGATATTGTAATAAATTTTAATATTATATGTTAAACACTTAAAAGTTCATGCTTTATATCAAATAAAAAATAATAACGAATAATATATTGATACTTAATAAACTTTTATTAAATTTATTTTATACAGCTCTTTTTATGTTTCAATAAAATTTATTAATAAAAAAATAGATTCAATACTTCTATTAATCCTTTCTTTATGTATTTTTTCAATTATTCATTTAATGCCATTAATTCTAAATAATATTAAGTATTTGTAGGTAGTTGGATTCATCATGAAATTTAAATCGTGAATGAATCCGTTTACAATAATCCTTCGATAAATTAAATTCCAGAGAAAACAATAAAAATAGATGTTTTGCACATTACATATGTGACATAAACGATAATGAAAATGACAGAAAGATGTGTAATCTCACCATATGTCGTCTCCACAACAAATAACCCAAACAGGAAAAGCACCAATAACCACCACTGCATGGTCTGTAAATGATAATAAAAGGAATACCCAGTGATAAGATAATTTTGTCCAAGTTCATTGGTAATAAGGGGTGGGGTAACGGTGACCCGTTGATATACCAGTTAATCATTAACCTCCTTCAGCAACTATCCACGCGTATGGGCAATGTTACCATTTGTCGCCACACACGTTGCCTGATACGAGGTGTCCGTATACATCAACGGTAATGGGAATCTCACACCCGAGACCCTTCATCAAATTAATGACTCCGGATTCTCGCACGATATCGTTTTCATATTTTACTTTGCAAACACTTTCAAGACCTACGGTATTATCGGCTTTTTATTATCGAGGTATTTTATCAGAAGCTGGAAGTTTACTATAGTTATTATTATCAAGCTTTTTTGAACATAAAATGTAAAGTTCAATACTTTAATTTCTTTGTTGATTATAAATATCAATTTATATTTTAAAATTCAAATGATCGTTTGAAGAGACAATTTTAATATTCCGTCTGAAAGTTTAATATTTCATTCCATTTCAAAATCTGGCATCTCTAACGTCGGTGAAATCAATATTCTTATAAAAAAGCTTTTATGATTCCATTTTCATAGATATTTTTATTATATATATTTAATTATAAAAATGAATAACTAATTCTTTCTTATAATCTGCATTTTATTGATTTTTAAATATAAAATATAACGATTAAAGTCGGGTACATATTATTTTATTAAAATACGCAGAACTAACTATTTGTAAAAAGCATTACTTCATTACAAAAAATCAAATTGAATTCAAGAAATCCTTTTTCATAATTTTTTATAAGTAATTGTTATTGCAAAACCAATCAATTATTTAACTTTAAATGATATTCAATTTATTTTTCATAACTTAAGTACAAAATTTATGTTATGTATTAATTATGTATTAATAAAATAACGTATTAATCGATCAAAATAGATGAAGGATCAAATTCATTTTTTCTGTTAGTATCAAAATTTATTTTCTACCTGAATTAGCGAAATATGTATATATTTAATTTCAATTATTTGTCAGTTATTACAGCATAATAAATTATATATTATATTTGCGATAAAAGATAGTATCAACTATTTATAATGTTAATAAATAAATAAATAGTTTATACTGTTGTCAATAATAGTTTCAATAAATTATTTACAAAATTTATAAATATATAAAATTTATGAAATATATAAAATTTTGATTTATTATTATTTTAGAGTTTTTAACTATATTATGTTCAGAATTATTTTTTCATATAATCAACTGAAAAACAAATTTAATAAAATTGAAACTATCTAAAATTTAAAAGCAAACTCAATTATAATAATTACATGCTATTTTATGTAATAGCACAAACGAATTATTTGAATTGTTTACAGTATTTTTCACAATTTTATCTTATAATTTATATAATACTAATCAACAATATGATAAAAATGAAAAAAAAAACTAGATATATGCAATAAATATAAATTCCAATCATAAATTTAAATGTCATACGAACTTGCGTCGAAGAATTCCTCCAATAATACAGGAACAATAATGAAATTGATCGAAATTATGTTCTTGCGCCAAAAACTAACTTAAAAGCGAAACAAACATAAAACTAACAAGGCTTTTTATTGCTTATGTTTAATCGGTGAGTCTCCCCTAATACATGTTCCGTTAGATTAGTGTATACTAGCTAGATAACTATATGCACTTATACAATTTAAACTCTACTTCTTATAATACATGCATAACTTCTCACTTAATTGCACACGACAGAGTAAGAGAAGTAGAAAAGAAAAGAAAAAATAGCCATTGAACAGAATAAAAGAAATTCAGACCGATTTGAGTGATTATCTTGAAAAAACTTTCGTGTTGCATAAAATGCAAGTATGAGAGTATACTGTGAGCTTTCATTTCTATGATATACTTATTATAATTTTTTAATATGTTATTATTACATATGAAGAATCTCTAATTATCTATAAATGTAAAAATTTCTATTTCAAATTTTATATTTTAAAAAGTTTAGTTAATAATTTTCAATGTTGTAATAATAATCTTCATTTAATTTTAATAACGAATTTTAATTTGTAAAATGATAGAACGAAGTATTTTGATTTAATTAATTTGAAAATATTTTAAAAAATATTTAAAAGATACATATCTATAATGTGTTCAACAAACATTTTTTATATAACATTTTGCTGTGTAAGTTGTAAACTAAATTTAGCAAACATTGTTATTATTCTAATCAGTTTAAAAACAAAAATTATTTTACGATAATATCATTTAGAATATTTATTTTGATATATTATATCTATATAAAACTATATTTCAACTATCATTTATTTATTACTAATAATTGTAGCTTATTATAACAATATATATTAATAATAAAGGTAATAAATGAATCGAATAGTATAATTAAATAGTACCGAGACTGAGTTTCATAAATGACTTTTATACATCAATTACTAATATCAATTTTGATTAATTACTTTAATATTCGTTTTCTGTGTAAACTTATCGATGTTCATTAGTATATATAAATTTATTTATTTGATATCGATAACTTTTTTTTCAATAAGAATAATTATGTCCGTTTACGATCTTTTTTCTTCCATACTTTAATTTACTGCAATGAATTCATGCATCGATTAATTATTATAAAATATACATAAATACATTATTAAATTTCTTAATTTACTAGAGTCTATTGTAATGAACATTTTTGTCTATATGTCTTATTTTTGAATTAGTAAATACATTAAATATCTCAAGCCTTTTTATTAAATAAAAACTTTAATTTTATAAATTTATAAAATTATTTTTTTTAATAATTCTTAGAAAATTTAGAATAATGCATCATTTATTATTAAATGATTAAAAGTATTAATTCTTTTAAATAGAAAAATTTACATTATATTTCCATTCATTCTATTAAATTAAAATTGGCTTTGAATTAGAAAAAATGTCATAAGAAGGGGAAAACGTAGGTAAATCGTACTTACATTGGTCAACACAGTCAAATTCCGCAGTATCCCTTTATCAAATTTTGAGAAATACACTTTGAAAGAGATATAGAATTGATGCCAGTGTTCTGAAGATCGCTGGGGAGTAAAGTGCGAGCCTCGACGTTAACCAAGCTTTTCATTCTCCGTTGCCCCCCACCACCTATATATATCTTTTTCTCTGTTTGTCTCTTTTAGCACCACTTCTCTCTCTCTCTCTTTCTCTCTGTCTCTCTATCTCTTTCTCTTTCTTTCTGTGTTCTAACGTTATCAATCTAGCCTTGTCATATTGTTATGGAACCGTTTACCGAAAAGGTCGTACTTAGTTCTGTGTACATACAATTATGTATAATATGTAAGAACCAGAATACAAATTACAAGCTTTGTCCAGTAATTCCATGGAGAGCTCTAATTCATTGGAAGTTGAAACTTTTCCATTCAAGATAAGAATATTAAATATAATTCTTATTATTAAATATTACATCTCTGTCATATTGAATACAATTATACTTATAATACATTTATAGCAATGTTCAGATTTTAATTATTTATTATAAAGTACTTTTTAATAAAATTATTTAGAAATTAGAAAAATAAAATAGAAAAAAATAGAAATATAGTGAAATATAAAAAATCTAAGAATTATATTTACTTTTTTATATATATGATTGTTTTAGAAAGTTTAGATGTATTTATTGGAGCCTGAAATTGTAACACATATTTTATATGCATTTTCTTGCAACTAATAACAAATAGGAATTGATTTTCTCAATAATACAGAATGCTGAAATTTGATTTTATTCAATAACAGATACATATATAACAAAATATAAATCGTGTTTTTACTTCATTACACAAATTTACTTCAACCACAAATCAATGCTATTTACTATCAAAGCATTTAATTTACAAAATATTTTATAAAAATATTAGATTTAACGAAAATGATATAATATATTACAATTATAATTATTTTAAATCGTTTTGTGAATTTTGTAATAAATTAAAGAATTGTTTTTTTTTATTTAAATTCTAATAATTTGTTTCTTTTGAACCAATTACCATTTCCTTAATATATCTATTTGTTGAATTTATCTATAATGTATGTAATGTTTTAGAAATTGCTTCATAAAATTGTCACTTCTAAGGAAAGTTAAATCAAATAAAATAAATATTGTAATTCATTATATGTACAATATATCATATGCTCAAAATTAATCCTATCAACAATATATTGAAGATGAGATAAAGTAAATTAGTAGTTTATTATAGTATTATTTATATTTTTTTCATTTATTCATTACTTGAACTAAATTTATTTTAATATTTTTACTATAATTTTATTTAAACCATATAACTAATTGTACCTGTAAAACGACTTAATTATATACAAAAAATCTGCTAAATGTAAATAATTTTTTTAAGATAGTTCGTTTTATTAAAACAAGGAAAAAATAATATTTATCAAATACAATTATAAAAATTATAAAAGTATTATAATATCACTATATTTAAGCTTAAATTAGTAAGAAACAAATAATTACATAATTAAAAAAAGATAAATTAATATTCGTTTGTAATTGTTTTCTTCATTTGAATAGCTCATAAAAAATAATTGCGCTTAAATTGGATTTAAACATTTGATATGAATACTGTATTGTAAATATGATATACATTTAATGTTAATTAAAAATACATCTTTTTAACTTCATTTAATTTATTTATTAGAAATAAATTTGCAATTTAAAATTAATAATTTTTTAAAAATAAATCCTGATATTAAGAATATATTTATTATAATAGAAATTCGATAAAAATTAAATGAAATGTGTATTTAATTTTGTTCATTACATTACATACTTTTGTATCTTAAAAATACTTTACTAATATAATATATTTTTTATCCATTAGAACTGTGCGACATAAGTTGGCATTTGTTTTAATAAGAAATTTATTATAAGAATGGATATTAAATTCAATAGATTGTTATTCATTTTGTTTTAAAAATTAAATACTCATATCTTTAAAAAAATATGTAGAAAGAGACAGAGGAAGTATTTTAAGGATCTATTTTACCCAATAAGTTTACATTTCTTTCGTTTTTTACGCGTTTGTATAACTTCCAAAAAACTGCCAATAAGAGTATTTCAAATTTCAATAAACTTGCCTTTTATATATTTTAGAATTAAGAATTAGTTTTCATTTTCTGATATATAATTGTAAATATTGGCTACCATAATATTTAATATAAATGTTAAATGTCTTTATTTAAGTCGTATACATTTAACGTACAATTGAATTCAAACAGTTTGATATTTAACCAAGATAAATTATAATATTAATGAGTTTAATATAACTTAAGCTTTTTGCTAATATTTTATAGAATTCCATAAAAGCTATTTAATAAATATATTTATAAATATGTACGCTACAGAATGATGTAAATTAAACTTTTTTTATGATCAATTTGGGTACGGAAGATATTGTCATTTATACTGTATCGTAATTTATTTTATTAAAAAATACTAAAAATGGAAGCAAATAGTTTTATAAAGTAGCTAAATAAATTAATTTAATATTTCAAATTATGTAAGACATCAAATTGTTTAAACTCTTTTCATAATTTTTTCGAAAAATTGTTATCTATTATCATTACTATTTCTTCTTTGAAAATTTTTTAATATAAATGATTACTTCATTTTCACAAAACTTTCTACCTACCAATTTAAATTAATTATTATTATAAGAGATGGTAAATATTGAATTATCATTTTTTTAAATATTCACTTTTTAAAAAAATCACTAATATTTATTTGAAAAGGATATAGAATCTATCATGAGGATTAAATATTTAGTTATTGTAAACAGATACATTTATATGAAGAACTTATAAACCATTATCTTTTTTTCAATATATATATGTACATGTATATTTAAAATAAATGTAAAATATATTATATTTTATTAAATATATAAGTGACAATAAATTTGCTACGGATATTAGGGTCTTCATTCTATACCTTGTGAGGTATTATTGAAGATAAAAACTATATGTGTGAATACTACACACGCAGTATAAATATAAGATTATATTAATAAAATATTATTTTATATTTTTTTAACCGAGTAAACTATTTAAAGACATTTAAAATAAATTGCTTACTTTATATATATATATATATATATATCTTCATGAATAATAATACAAAATTATATATTTAATATATTATATGTTTATTATCCATCATATTTGATAATATTATAATTCTTTCTACATTATTTTTGCATAGTTTATAATAGATAATATAATATAATATTGCATAAGTTATAACAGGTGTTATATATTAAAGGAATCATAAACATAATGAAGAATATATTGTTACGTATTTTAGTTAAAATTGAAAGCTCTTACAATTTCTCACAATGTTTGGAATTTAAGAAGTGTAAATTCATTGACTTCTCGAAAGTAGATATATCATTAGTCTATATTAAATTTGAGATCGAGAAAGCAAGTTTATTTGAAAAGCAGAATAAGCAAAGAAGTTACAAGTTAGTTTATTATATACTTTAATTTAATGAACATTAAAGACTTTAAAATAATACATATTTTATTTTATTTAATTCAGCTATATTCGTTACATTTGAAATCTATAAACTCCGATATTATCAATAATAAACAGCATTACGTGGTTATTAAAGCATTTATAAATCTATTTAATTTTCCATTTATAATTACGGAAATTCATCAATAAAATTTTTCATTTTTACACAAATAGTACACGTTAATAAATGTTTCATATCTTTTTATCTATATATATTATCAAATTTATTTATTTTTATATTTTGATCTGATTATTGCATACATATGTATGCTAAGTATCTAAAATATAAGTTATTATTTTTTTTACTTTGAAAAATATAGTTTTATTAATTTTATGATTTTTAATTTAAATCTTCATATTTTTCTAAATTATGTAAATCCTGCAGCTGCCAATTAATTATTTAAATTAATACATCCATTTACATACACACACGCCCGCGCACACAAACATACACACACACACGTTCAATTTAAAAATAATATACATACTTTTATTTTTTCGACTCTTGAAAGCTGACTATAATTACAAAATGTTTCTCATATCTGGTATAATAAGTAAATAGAAATCTTTTCAACTAATAAGTATACCAATTTTTTTATATAAGATAATCGTAAATTTTCTGAATTTTTAGTATATTAAATTATTAATTTAAAATTAGTTCAAGTTCTCTGAAATTCTATATGAAAAATAAGATTTTTTATTAATTACTTAACATTATACATGCATGATAAGTAGTTTCGTATTTAGTAGATGTTCTAAATCTATCCCTTAATCCGTTTTTACTTATTCATATACAAGTTTAAGATTAATTTGCGTCTTATTCATCCGAAAGGAAGAAATGTTTCATTTTATAGAAAAATAAGAAAGTATTTTATTTATTTTATATATTTTATTTATTATATATATCAATAGCATTATTCTATTGATGAGTATTTTAAAAAATGATTTATATATTTTCATTAACTTTTCCCCATATTTCATACTATTAGGCTTACAGTACGGTAACGTGAATTTTTATTACAATTATTATTGCGAAATAAAAATAGAAATGGATAAGCAAATTATCAAATTTACATTGTAAAACTCTACATACATATTATTACTAAAGTATTGAAATATAATAAAAAATTTTTAATTTATTGATTTTATATGTATTTATTTGTAGTAAATTACGTATGGGTATTAAAAAATGATCTAATTAATATATACTTGAAAGTTAAATTATAATTTTTAAATGACATTTTTTATTCATTTATTTTTATTTTCTTATTTCTCTAAGAAACGAAATATATTGATATTAATTATAATAACACTCTATTTTATGCTTTCTAGATTCGTATTTATTTATTAAAAAATATTTGTTATTAAATTGATATATTTTTAATACATTCTTTAATATTCAACTATTAATTCAATTAAATATTTTAGAAATGAACCAATGATTTAAAAACATTTTTAATGATATTATTGTTCAACAAAGTAATACGAATAAGAGAACTTTTAGTATTATATTTATAGAGTTAATTTTTTGGACATAAATTTTTTGGTTTGAACAACTTATAATTTATTAACAATACACTAAAAACTGAAAAAGTATATATTAAAATTTTTAAATAACATTAATATGTAATGCAGAATTAAGTTTATTGAATTATTAAATTCCCATTTTGAACTAGATATACACAAATGCATACATATCATGAAATATAAAATTTTTTTGTCCATTGTTATGATCCTAAGCACTTATATTTTACAAAATAATTAAATAAATTACTTGTATTTATCTTTCGATATTTATCTTTCTATAATTCTAATTTTCAATAAGAACAATAATCTATCAATTATTTAAAATTAATTTTGTACAGTAAACGTGTAAAACTAATAAGTGTATTGAATACTGAACACAGCTTATTTAAAAAATTTCTCTCGCATGACTTGAGTTTCAATTATTAGTATAATATCTAAATGATTTGTAATTCTGAAATTTAAAATACATTTTAAAATTAAATATATTAAAATTATATTAAAAATAGACCGTGTATAATATTAAAATCAGAATATTAGATAAATCAGAAAGATTAATTTGCGTTTTAGAATATTTAACTATTACTTTAACTTTTACTATTAACTTTTTTTTAAATATTTAGAAACACAACTTATTTTTTATCGATATAATGATAATAAATTAATAGTATTTTTTTCACAGTAATTTATAAGATCTTGTAGTAATCGTGTAACGAAGTAAAAGACATGTTATATTTTTTCTTTTTTGAATTTTCAATACATACATACTAAGTAATTAATTCTTTCAGTATTCATTAGTTTTTTAAAAATACATTTTTAAAATACATAATATATTATGCTATTTGGAAGAAAAATTTAATTTATTTATTTAATTTTTTCATTCATTTATTTCGAATTTATTTGTATGCCACACTAAGTATTGTCAATTATTGTTGTATAAGATATTTTAATTTATTTTATAATTCTATTTTTTGTGTTATCTTCTCATCTATCTTAATTATAGTTAAATTGAATGAGATAATGAAAAATAAAGTCAATTATTTCGTAGAATTTATCTATACAATTATTAATAATTTTAATTGTATTTTTTGTTATATGCATCAGAGTATATTACAAAATGAACATAGAAAGCAGATTATGGTTTAAAAGTACGTATTACAATTACAGTTGAATAATTATTGTTTGCTGTTTCCAAATGTTCCTATATGTTACAAATCAAAATTTTAAGTATGTACTAGATGCTTTTTAGTTGGGATGTACTTATTGCATTAGGTGAAGTAGTAACAGGCGTATTCAAAAACAAATGACTGCGGGAATGCTACGTGATGCAGGTAGAGAAAGCGAACTTGACAGAAGTTTCTTTGTCAGTTGTCGTTTAGCGTGTGTAAAATCGTTATCAGGTTCTACTTTGCATTATTTTTCATTTAAAAACCAAGATGCCTCGATGTTTATTAAAGTGCATGATGCGTTACGGACAACATGACAAATCAGATGATGGTAAGTAAGCTAATAATAATATTTTTTTTTTTTATTTTTCTGAGAAAATATTTATAAAGATGTCGTCTATCGATTTGTTCAATTTTGCGACTTGATAACTGACAAATATAATTAAAACAAAAATATTTTTAAAAAGTAGTATATATAAATATGTTTATAGTGTACTTAATTTTATTAAAAGTATTGACATAATTTGTTTAACCGATATAAATTTTATTTTCAAAATAAAGTATTTGAAATTTTTTATTTTAAAATTTTCTTAATTAAATAGATGTTTTGTCTATATTTAATAAATTTTTTTTTAAATTACATTTTTGATCTTAATATTTTACTTCTCTTTTACAATTTCAGATCTTGAATCAAATGTACAGCAAATACCAGTTGCAAAAGAAGTTAAGAAGAAAAAGAGAAGATATAAAGAGGCACAAGGAAAGATAGGTAGTATTTGGTCATGGTCAAATCTTCCAATTGTTACTCGATATAATTTTCAAAAGAATGAAAATATACTATGGAATCCAGAGTCATCTGATAATATTGATTGCTTTATAAATAATAGTAATTCAAGAAACGAAAATTCTTCTACTAGCTGCAGTGATGATCAAAATGCCATATATGATCTTGATAACTTAGAGACATCAGAAGTACCTCAAATATTACAGCTAAATGAAAATAACTCTACACATAATCAAAAACTTGAAGATAATAATTTAGATTTTTCCATATGTCAAAAAAATGTCCAGGTTCAAAATGTAGTATCTGTTATTTATTCTCATACAGGTATTCAGGAGAATGAAGTTATAAAATCTTGTGAAGAAGATAGGAGTTCTGAAATAGATGGAATATCTAATCAGAAACGTAATAAAACAATGCATTTCTGTCCATATTGTCACAAAAGCTTTGATCGTCCATGGGTATTAAAGGGACATTTACGTCTTCATACAGGTGAAAGACCATTTGGTTGCCCTGTGTGCAATAAATCATTTGCTGATCGGTAAGTTGAAATGAAAATTATAATTTATAAATTATAACACTTTCAGAATTGTAAATTTTTTTTTTAATACTATTATGCTTCATTTATCTTATTTTTTGTATTTATATTTTAAATTTTAAATGAAAATAATATTTATAATCATGAATTGTTGATAAACATTAAATATAATAAAAGTTTGTTTTGTACATTATAAGAAATCATTTAATTTTTTTAATAGTTCAAATTTAAGAGCTCACCAAAGAACTAGAAATCATCATCAATGGCAATGGCGATGTGAAATTTGTTTGAAAGCTTTTTCTCAGAGACGTTACTTAGAACGTCATTGTCCAGAGGCTTGTCGTAAATACAGAGTGTCACAAAAAAAAGAATGATTTAACATTATGTGTATAATTATTACACTGAATTGCTCCTATAAATTGAAGTTCCCTTAATTTTTATATAATAAAATAATTTATAATATAAGCATTTTATACAATGTTTTATGTGCATAATTAAGTTATCATTGATTATAATTAAAAAGTTGTTTATATAACCTAAAAAATTAATCTTCTGTCATTATTGAAAATACATATAATTATTTTTATAGGATTGATAAATATTTTAATAATAGCATTCATAACATTGAAAGCTTATATATTATATTTCAACTTGCTTTATTTCCCTTTAATATAATTTACGAATTATTTGAACTAAAACCTAGATTATGTTCCAATTTTTCTAAAATCTAATTTTTATAAAAAAAATTTCCAAATAATTCTTAAAATTTTATATATAGAATAATCAAGAACTAGTTTTATTATTTATAACGAAATATATTTTCATAAACAAAGGAAGAAATTATATGAAATTGATAATTAATTGTAATTCTTTATTCACAATATTATCCATTATCAAATTATCTGTTGCGTGTTCGCCCTAATCCATTCCAGTCATGTACGTTTGGTAATTCAACTGTTTAAATTGGTCAACAGTTTACCAATCTAGTACTTTTATTATTTTTCTATAATTATTTCATAATTCTAGAAAATAAAGATAATCATTATTAAATAATAGATTTTATTTAATAAAATATTTACTAAACTACTCGATAATGAAAATACTAAGTTTTGTATTTTAAATACTGAGGATAAGGTAAAATTTTAGTAACACTAGAGAGAGCTTCTATCTTTTTCTTTAACAACGCATGCGCAGATGTATCATGCAGTATGTGCGTGAATTTCTATTGTAGAGATCTTCGTTTGATCAGATTCAATGTGTTAAAAAGAGAGAAAAAACATTAAAATTAAATGCATAATAATCACGGTGTCTCAGTAGTTGTCGAGAGCAGAATTATCGTTGTGTGTCTAATTTCGTGACGCAGTACATTATTTTTTCTGTAAGGTAGAATTATAGTAAAGCAAATTTCACATATCCATTCGTATCGAAAAAAATCGCAATAAAAGGAAACTCACATAATTGGATCGAGAAAAGAGAAATGTGATAAAATTAGGAAAATAAATTTGAAACAAATTTGTCGATACTTCCAAGAAAAACAAGAAACCAGCTGTTCTTAGTTGTTAACATTGTTTTACAAGAGAAGAAAATATTTCACCGTTGAAGAGAGACGGACAAAGGCAGACCTACGCGTCGCTGTGTTGTTTCTTACTTTCCTTTTCATAAGATCTATGTATATTCATCATATTGCTATTATGCATAATCCTAAGTAAAAGTTCTTAAAGAAAATTAATTTTCATTTGTGAAATCAAAAGACATCGAAGGCACAAAGACTTTCCAAGTTGAGAGAAAAGTAGATAAACGCCTATAGACGGTGTTGTCGATTGTGGAGGGGATAGGGAGAAAGAGGAGGAGAGAGAGCGAGAGAGAGAGACGGAACGAGACTTGACATTGGAACGGCCATTTTGCTGTGGTCGGTCTCTGGAATCGTTCAGCAGCAACAGCAACAGCAACGGCAACAGCAGCAGCAGCAATAGCAGCGGCAGCGGCGGCAGCAGCAGCAGCAGCAGCAGCAGCAGCAGCAGCAGCAGCAGCAGCAGCAGCAGCAGGAGGAGCAGCAGCAGCAGCAGCAGCAATAGCAACAGCAGCAGAGTAGCATATAAGCAGCGACCTGTATACAAGTATAAGCCACAGCTTCGAGACACGATCTCAAGAGATATCGACAACCATCCGTATCAAGGTAATATCTGAATTTATGTGTTCATCGAAAATCAGAATGTAAACGTCGGTTTGGTTGGATTTTTATTGTAGTTGTTTATTTCAATTATTTTAATAGAATATAGAATATTTTTTTTTCAATTAGCGGTTGCTTCTGTTTGCCTCTGTAAGCTAATAAATACCATTAATATTCTTATTTATATTCTGTGCTTAGTATTAAAATTGAATAAACATAAAAAAAATTAAAGTAATTAATTGTAAGTTCATTAAATTTAATATTAAAATAACTTAAACTGAGTATTTAAACAAAATTTCTATACATATCAATTTTATTTATATGAATGATAGAAATTGTCAATGTATTTTATTATATTATTAATATTATTTTAATTTAATATTATTCATGTTTATTTGATATTGAAATTGATGTTCCTTTTGTCCTAGTGTTTTATTATATTCCTTTTATTTTCTTTGATTTCACATACATATAGATGGATGCGCGCGCGCGCGCATTGGTGAAATTAAGTTGTGTGCGTGCATTTTTTTTTTCTCTGCGGAGAAAAGAGCGAGTGTCGACGATAACCGTTATTTTGGACGGTTGAAGATTTGAGACGAAGCGTCTTTAAAAAGAGTATAGCATGAGTTTTTTATGAGAAGAATATAATTATAAGATACAAACGTCACAGGCGCGTATCTGAAACAGATGAAAAAAAAAATTTAGTGAGATATTTTATTTGTTTTGTTTATTTTGTATATCAAATACTTTTCATTTACATTATGTTCAGTACTTAGGGTTTGTAGAAATTACATCTGTAATTTTAATGATCTATGTTATATTATTTATTTTAGTGTACAAAGCAATTTTTTCTTCATATTTATATGAAAATATTTTTTTATAAATTTTTTATTTCGTTTAAAAGTAAAGATAAAGTTTCTGAAAATAATTCAATTTCATTAATATTAAGTATAATTAAAAATTTCATGTTAAAATGAATATGTAATGTGTTCTATGTATCAGTTTTTTTATTATTATTATTATAAATAATTTTTACATTATTTTATTTTAGAAAACAGTTAGTTTCATTTTTATTTTTTGTATCAACTATGTATTTTATTTAAAATTAAAATTTTACATTTTATATTTTCAATTTAAAATTAATATACTATTTTAATGTTATTTATATATTTAATAATTACCAAACTATTATTTTCCTCGTTTAAATCTTTATTTTAATTACTTGATTGGGAAATATTTTAGTATATTAATTGTAGATTACTGTTTTATTTATCAATAGAATTTAGTTTAAGAATTAATTTGATTGGATAATTTACAAGAAATTACCATACTTTTAATAATTTACTCATATTACTTAAAATTTCAAGCTATTTACAACAATAATAAATAATTTATATCAACTATTTATTATTAATATTTGTTTATAAATAATAATTTAAGCTATATGTATATATTTCATCAAAGCTAAGAAAATTATATTTTTGAGTATAATTTAGTTAACTTGTATACTCAAAATAAAGTCTTAGAATTAAGAATTTACTAGTATATAGTATTTGAAACTCTAAAAGTTTAAGCTGGTTGATTTATTGGTGTTTACATTGGAACTGTAAACATGAAAACTGATAGTTTTGGATTTCAAAGTCCTTCATGACATTCTATTGTTCTCCGTTATTATTTAATGCTATACAGTTCTGTAACTGAATAAATAAAGTTCTCTTTATGTTTATTTCTAAAATTAATATTTAATATAAATTTCTTATGTTTTAGCACATGAATATTATCAAATTTTTATTAATTTTTCAATGATTTTTGTGAATATTATTTCTAATAGTTATTTAAATTTTTTTTTAATTTGTAGAAGCTACATACGTTGTATCTACTTCAAAATGATGACCGAATCACATATAAATTCCAACCATGTATTAAATTCTGGTCTTGGTATAAAAACAGATTTAGAAAAAATGGATGATGTAGGTTGGAAGGCTAAACTTAAAATCCCACCAAAGGATAAGCGTATAAAGACAAGTGTATGTATTTTTTATATTTATCATCTATATTAATAATCTTATTGTTATATAAATTAATATATATTTATAACTATTAATAAATATAATCTAATTAAACAATATTCAAATATTCTTATAAAGTATTTTTATACTTATACTATATTTAATGCATATGAATAATATTAACTATTTTATTAATTTTCTATGTGAATATAATAGGATGTCACAGATACTCGAGGAAATGAATTTGAGGAGTTTTGTCTAAAACGTGAACTTCTTATGGGGATTTTTGAGAAAGGTTGGGAGAAACCATCACCTATTCAGGAGGCCAGTATTCCAATTGCACTTTCTGGTAAAGATGTTTTGGCACGTGCCAAAAATGGAACAGGCAAAACTGGAGCATATTCGATTCCTGTTCTTGAACAGGTTTGTAAATTTTCACGAAAACTATTATTCAGAGAATATTATATTTTTCTATAAGAAGCCTATTTTATGTTTTATTACAGGTTGATCCAAAAAAAGATGTAATTCAAGCATTGATTATTGTGCCTACTAGAGAATTGGCACTGCAGACATCACAAATTTTGATCGAGCTTGCAAAGCACATGGATGTAAAAGTAATGGTTACCACTGGTGGTACTAATTTGCGTGATGATATCATGAGGATTTATCAAAAAGGTATTTTTTATTTGGTTTCTTAGTTATTTCTCTGTATTTGTATATTTGATTTATTTTAAAAATTACAATTTGTAAAAGTTAATTATATTTATTATTAGATTATTATTTAAATCTCATCTGAAGTTAATGTACTTTAATTTAATTAATTATTGTATATTATTAAATATTTTATATTATTTTATATTTTATTTTCAGTGCAAGCCATAATAGCAACACCAGGAAGAATTCTAGATCTTATGGATAAAAATGTTGCTAATATGGATCATTGCAGAATTTTGGTTTTAGATGAGGCTGATAAGCTTCTTTCACAAGATTTCAAAGGAATGTTAGATCATGTTATTTCCAGGTAAAATTTTTTAAAAATATTAATTAATTTAGTGAATTTACGCTTTTATAAATATAATTTATCATTAAAATTAATAATATTAGTTTTTATATTGTTTACTTACGATATATTTCATTTATATGTTTTAACTAAATTTATTTAGATTGCCACAAGAACGTCAAATATTGTTGTATTCAGCAACTTTTCCACTGACGGTAAAACAATTCATGGAAAAACATTTAAGAGATCCCTATGAAATAAATTTAATGGAAGAACTAACATTAAAAGGTGTAACTCAATATTATGCTTTTGTACAAGAGCGTCAGAAAGTCCACTGTCTGAATACATTATTTTCAAAGGTGAAATAAAAATTATTTTTAAAATAAATAAATTATTTTTATTTTGTTAGAATTAACCATTTTTAAATCCTTGGTTTCAGTTACAAATTAATCAAAGCATTATATTCTGTAATACAACTCAGCGTGTTGAATTACTAGCAAAGAAAATCACAGATTTGGGATATTGCTGTTATTATATACACGCTAAAATGGCTCAAGCACACAGAAATCGCGTGTTTCACGACTTTCGTGCTGGACTTTGCCGAAATCTGGTCAGTTTATTTTTTTGGCATCCATTTATAGTAATTATATACATAATTAACTTTTAATATTATAAATAATAATTATTATTTATAGTATTGTAAATAATTCAATTTTAATATTTTTTTCTATAAATCAATAAATATAAATACAATGTTTAAATATTTTATTTATTAATATGCTTATAGAAATATTTTTAGTATTTACTATTTCACTTTTAATGATTATAAGTAATTTTCTTGAACTGATATATTTTTTTTAATTCAAAATAATAGTAAATTATATACGCAGTTTATAATAATAAATAATATCAAGAATGCCACAAATATTGAAAAATTTGGAATAAAAAAATTAATTATAATTGTAATATGTTTATAATTGAAATAATTTGTGTAGAGTAATACTAGTTTTCACATATAAAAATTAAATGTACAATAAAGTTTTTAAAAGGACTATTTTTCTATAGGTTTGTAGTGATTTATTTACACGTGGTATTGACGTTCAAGCAGTGAACGTTGTAATCAACTTTGACTTTCCAAAAATGGCAGAAACATATTTACATCGTATTGGTCGTTCAGGAAGGTTCGGCCATTTAGGTATTGCAATTAATTTAATTACATATGAAGATCGTTTCAATTTACATCGTATTGAACATGAGCTTGGAACTGAAATCAAACCAATTCCAAAAGTGATAGATCCAAGTTTATATGTAGCAAGACCAGATGACAATAATAGTTTGGAAGAGGGTAATGTGTCTAAGTAGTTTTAAATTGAAATCAAATAGAGTTTCATAATCGCTCAAAGCCAATGTAAAAGTGTATGATGTGATTGTGATAGAAGAAATATGAAAGCCCATGCTTTTATGCATAGAACTTTTTGAAAAGTGAAAAGAAAACTTATTGTGTTACTTAACTTGTGAAGGATAATCGAAAAAATGTAAATGTATGTTTTTTGGAGTGTAGAAAGGAAAAACATAGAAAAACAATGTCTGTCAGTGCTACAAATTATAAACTATTTGAATAGACATTTTGCGTAGAAAAAGAAAATGCAAAATCATGGAGAACACTTATAGTCGTAACAAGCAAAGAAAAAAAGTTACTTGTATATACGGTATTACTGAGCATGAAAATAATCATTCGCTTTGCACTTGGTAAACTCAGTGACGAAGTGATTGGAGTGCCAGTGCGAGTCATTCTTTGTATATAAATACATTTAAATGTACATATACTGATGCAGCCCAAAGTCAAGTCATGGTTCAATAAAATATATCGTATTAGTATGTGCAAAGAGAAAGAGAATGAGCGAGATAAAATTGCAATAGAAAACATCGATTATCGCATTTCAACATACTGGAAAATATCTCATGCTATTTTAATATTGATTTTTTATATACTCACATATAACTTTGATCTTTAAGTTTACATAAAAAAAATGGGATATTAAGAGAGACATGCGTAAAAGTTTTAAATCGATGATCAATTGTCAATAAATGATAAATATAATATATATATATATATATATATATATATATATATATATATATATATATATATTATATTATACTTTATTCTAGCTTTAAAAAAAATTTATAAGTTCGATACAAAAATTATACTTGTACGATAATCGTCACATTACCATGGCTTGATTTTGCCAGCTTTAATACTGTCAACACAACTCTGAAATTCAATCAGTTTTCATTATCCAAAAAGGGAAACTTGAAAAAGATAAAAGTTTATTTTCCTGATAAAACACCCATAATTCATTTTTTTTTCCTTTTTCTAAGGAGAAATCTCAATAGTTAAAATTTTAATTTTTATTTTTCAAATTGAAATTCTAAATTAATTTTGTATATTGAAATTAGAATATTTCGTTTGCTTCAACAAAAAAACAGCACATACAATAAACATTAAATACGTTTTATGATCTATATGTTTTAGTTATTTACGTTTACAAAAATTTACAATGTTTTTTGTAGTAAATTGATTTAAACCAAAGGTAAAAAGGATGTATATCATTTTGTAAAAATTATTTACATAATTTTGAAAATAATCATATGTTAAGTTTTAAAGTTTTAAAATTATAATGTAAGTAAAATATTAAAACAATTATTTAAAATTAAATTTTTTAAAGTAGATATAGTATTAATTTTTGCTTTAAAGATCAATATAATATTCAATGATAGGCATTTAATAATCAAATTGAAATACTATTACAAACAATCTGAAATAATTGGATATTACTTTTATTGTATAAGTGATTAAATTATGAGAATCTTAGTATTTCTGAAAAAAAAAAAATTTAGAAATTTCAATTTTTAAGTTAAAAATTTTTTTTAAGAGATTCCTCTTTAATCGAACCACTTACGGGCGAATTTTCATGGTACATGTGATTGAGTATCAGAAGTTGTTAAATTGACTAGTTTTATACAATTATTTTTATAAACTAAACTGGCTGGTGGATAATATATCCTTTTTCCTGTATCGGGAGGCCATATGTTGATATATGCAGACATCGTATTTATATATATATATATATATATATATGTATTATTTTCCATTGTAATGTACTTTTGTCTGTGAAATATGAAATGAGAGTAGCGAAAGAACTCTCACCTGGATTCATATAAAAAAGTACATGCACTTATTTACATCTTTGCGAAACGTCAAAATATTATGTGAGAGAAAATTTATCACGAAAAACTTTGTTAACGTTACAAATTTTCTTTGTAAAATTAACAAAATGTCTATATTTAACTTTAAAAGGATAACTTAATAGAAAAATGTAAGGCCTCTCGATTTTTACAGTATAAATTGTACAAAAAATTCACAAAACGAACATTTTTTGCGCATTGTGGATGAGTTATATGAATTCAACATATTGCAATCTTTACGATTTTACAAAACTGTACACACTTGAAGAGAAGGAAAAACTAGAAATACTATCATAAAGCCGGCACCACCAGCCAAAATGACCTAGACTTACTTGGAAGAGAAAGAGTGAAAGAGAGATAAAATGAGAGAATGAATGTGATTGATAGAGTGTGAGAGAAAGAGAGAGGAAATAGATATTAACGAGTAAAACACGACAACAATTTTCTCTTTTCTTTTCATATTTTTCGATTTACACTATAAGATGATTTTTCTCTTCCTCAATGTGAAAAATCTTTTCCATAATTATGTGGATGCGCACGACGACAGAACGGTTTAAAATGCTGTTAAGATTATAATGTGATTAGCGTATATATTCTCATTTAAATGAAAAATTGGAAATAATAGTGAGCATGTGGCGAGATGTTTGAAATAAAAGGAGTATATAGAATTGAGAGTAAATACGAATATTACGTGAAAATAGTAAATATTTTGAGGTGATATTACGTAAAGGTAGTCAGACACATATTAGAAACACTAAAGCTATAAGCAGCTCATTTATCAGTGTCCAATACATTTGCGATTTGAAATGTGAAAAAGTGTTGATAAAGACACCATTTTTATTTGTTTTACTATATTTATGCGCGAAAAAATTCCATCAATTGTCTTGTAAATATATTATTAAAGAGTGATAAAACTAAATAAACTTACGCGCACAGACCTAATCACACGTTGTTCGAATAACGTAAATTCAAGTGTCATCGAAATGTACCGTAAGAATATATACAATTATATAACTAAACGCATTATAAACCGTTTAGCAATGTATGCGTTTCTTCTCTTTGTTCTGTTTGTTTCTGCAAGACGTCTTTTCAACTTTCTTTAGAGTAGGACACTTCGAAAAATTAAAATGAAAAATATAATATATAAAAATGGTAAGTGAACAAAGTAATAAATCAAAATAAGATAAATTAACAAAATATTTTGAATTGGGATATTTAACTTTATTTTGATTTTTCGTTAATTTGTATCCACGTGAAATCTTACTCAAAGAAATTTAGAAAATACCTTCACTGTCGCAGTGAACTATTTCTTGCTCAGTTTTTTGTAAAATCATTTATGAAGCTTTTCGTTAATGGGTAATAAGCAAAGCGAACTTATGGGTAAGATATCGAGCATCCGCTTTCGAAAGTTTACAAGCGTACAGTAGTACGTAATTAATAGAATTCTGCAGTGATAAAATTACAAAATGTACCGTGTGAGTGTATGAGTTATATAATTGTTAAGTACGATAAATTTCGTACGTACAATATGGAGAAATAATTAATGGCGTTGCCGTGTTAAATGATGTTACCTTCTATAAAAGAGTAATAGAAATTTGCATATTAAGTATCGATTAAACGAATGCTTCATGAATTTATTAATAGAAAGAAGGGGGTGAATTTTACAAACAAAGCGGCTTAAAATGTAATGAATGAAAAAGTGAGCATATGTATACTGTATGTAAGTGTCGATTGAAGAAAACGTTTTAAATCTGTTATTTTATTCCATCTATTAACAAAATTACCACATCCCATACAATCCGAAGTATTTTTTTCCTTCTCAATAATGGGTATAATAATTGATGATCCTTCCTTTCCATTTTTCCTTTCAACCTTATCTTTCTTCCTTCGATCTTACCTTATTTGTTTTTATAGTATGTAAATTTTCGTTTTTTTTTCGACAAACTACATATTATGTGATATCGCTGTTAATGGCGATATTTTCGTTTAAAGTAGAAATGTATAAAATGAGAAAGAACTGTTGCATATATGTAAGAAGCGTGAGTAAATTAAAAAAAAATTTAAGAAATATTTTATTAACGATTATATAACCACTGCAAAGAGTGATTTGTTTCAAGTCCGCAGGCTAATCTTCACTGGTTATACTTTTCACAATATTTTAAAGATATATTATAGAATATTAACAAACCGCAATATGCAAAATGATGTGTCGTTTATATTGTACATCTCTTTATACTTGCGCTAAACAAAGTTGCAACAGTGTCTGAAATATTCGGCATCTTCGGAAATAAGATATGTATAAATTTCAACGTCGTATTTGTTCCGAATATCATACGATAAACTCTACTATTGACGAATGAAAATTGTTAAGAAATGCGACGATGAACTTTATGTCTTCTTCTCAGATAAGCGAATTGAGTGACATCTGAGAAAAATTCCTACAATGATGTCGTGCGTCATCTTGGAAAAAAGAAAATTTGTAATAAATAAGCGTTTGGGAAATTTCTGGTGAAGTGATTATGTAAGAGTCGGCTAACATCTGTGTCAGTTTGCGGAACCTTGTGCGACAACTGAGGAGGTTCCGAAAAACAAAAACAAACAAAAAACAAACAAAAAAAAACAAAAAAAAACGTAGTTTAACTATCCATCTCGTACGAATGGAAATTGTTTTTTTCGTACGCACGGAAGAGTAAATTTTAAATCCCTTTACATCAAATTTGTATACGAAAAAAATACGCAATAAATATTATAATACACCTTTGTTTATTAATAGAAATTAATAAGAATATAATCAATAGGATTTTCAATTTACTCTTTCGCGTTATATTATTTTAATACCAACGGAAACAATTCGGGCATTTATCGAAAATGTTTGTTATTTAGAAGTATTCGTACTTTGAATTAAAGAAAAATATTTTGACTGGTTTTAAGATCTGGTTTTACAGAACAATTTTCGATAAGAGTTTTGAATTATTTTTACGTTGGCAAATGAAAGTAAACAAAAAAAAAAAAAAAAAAAAAATCTAAAAATTTCAGTCATTCAAAGAATTATAAAATTCTTCTTCAAAATTTAGAATTCAACTGCCGGCGGTCTAAAAATTTTTCGTTTTACGAATATAAAAAATAAAATCTAAATCTAAGATTGCACACGAAAAATCAATACGTAAGAAGCGAGAACAAGTTTCGGTTTGTGTATGATTTTTTTCGATAACACGACTTAGAAACATTGTATCTGTTGAAATATCGACGAATTTATCGAACAAGTGAGTACGAAGGCAAATAACTTTCGTTATACAAATTCGATAAAAAGTAGCTTCTAAAAAAATATATATATATAAATGAAAAAGGGAACAACATTTTGGAAATAACGGAAAGATCTCCGTACGTACTGATTGAATTGTGACAAATCGCGATTCCCATACAATGATTCAGAATTTCTTAAACGTCGCAAGACTGAAAAATTGCTAAAAAGTCAAAAGAACAAGTAAAGTTAATGGAAATTACACGATATGTGTACGATAAAACAAAAAAGAATTTAGAAAGCCTGCGTCTCTTAGCCAAAAAATCCGAC